TCGGTAGGGTTGATGGAGAACAGATCGATGGCGTTGTCATAGCTCCAGTTGGCAGCGAGAGGGTCTGGCCTTTCGAAGAAGTCGGCGGGTCGAGACTGGGGGCTCAGGTGTTGGCTGAGGTAGGTCCCCTGGTCAATGGAGAGATTGGGGATCTCATTGGATCGGTTGCAAGCCATGATACACATCTTGGATCATACGTTGGCCTGAAAAGGCAGTAGCAGGATTTGGGGGATATATAGTAAGTTGAGAGAAGTACTATAGTGAAGAGTGGCGAGGGATCGAGGATTTATAAATAAACTGATATCAAAACAGCAGAGGGGTTTCTACCATAGGGGATTTATATAAACCCAGGTGTGCCCCGAAAAAAACAGGGGTACGAAGGTGATCCGGAACAGGCGATTACAGGTGTGTACGAAGCCGAGATTGACCTGTGATGTAGACCCTGCGTATCCAAAACGGTCTAGCCTCTCCGACTAGCCAGTCACTTTCCTTGTTGTTCGGTGAAATAAAGCCGAGACCCTCCCCAGATCTATAACGGCCGGCTCCGACGAGTGCATTTTCCGATATTCCCCTTGTAACGTGTGAAACCGTTGAAGTTACGGAGTAGGAGGAGTGGATGTCACGGGAACCGATGGAGGGGGCTTTTATCCAATAATAATTCACCGGTCGAGTCTCGGAGCCGACACTTTATGTAATTTATGTAATTTAGGTTCAATTTGTAGCTTTTTTTACATTTTTTCCTGTTTTAAACGGTTTGTATTTTACAATGTATTTTATATTTTCCCTCATTCTTGGTACAAGTGACCCGTGGAACTGATCTTGAATCTCACCTCTATTGTGTGTATGTCAATGATTTATATACCTAGGTAGTCTAGAATGATCAAAGTCATAACATTTCCAAGGTTCTTTTCAAGGAGCTACTGATTACGTAGCATGAAGAGATCCAGTGCGATCTAAAAAGAGCCACGTATCATGTACGGAGTAAAGATCTCAATTATCTTTCGTCTTAGCGCGGTGGCTGTAACTAGCGGCGACAGGTATTTTTATGGGATCATTTGGTTATAGTACTCCTTATTTTGATTATGTCTTCGGTCTTGCGACTCATCCATATTATGAGGGCTAAGCGAGGTCGATAGTACCAACTAGATCACACAGGGATGGCACAGCTTCTCTGTATAGCTCTAACGTGATCCAAATCTGCCTCTGTAAAAGCGGCAAAGTCTATAATATCAATATAGAAAGGCCAACCCTTTATAAAGAACAAGATACCGTATGTTGTACACGTCAATTGTGTACTCCGTACTCCGTACGGCATTCGCTTTACATTCTTTACTCCCGGTAAAAGTTATATCCTGTTTCTTCAGATTGCTTGCCAAATATACTTTAGCAAATACCTGTCGGCAACCATGTCAGGCAATCTATTATTTCAAGATCTTTTCACTTACGCGACTACGGATAAATTATACGTCATTGACTGCATTTCAGATATCATATCCTATCTTCCGAAATTGATATAATAATAAAGACCATTGACACGTCAAACCAGGTTAAAATCACCCAATTGAACACACGTGCTCAGTGCTGCCCCTTATGCTCCTTAGAAATGTCATGTATACTTGGCCAATGCTGTTTTTACCCTGCCGCTTGTGGCAAAATTCCCGAGTATCAGCCTAGTACTTTTGTCAGTCAAAATCGGCGCCACTCTTTTTTTTTTGTGTGTGGACGATTTATCGAAATCACATCTAAAACAAACATGTCAGATCCAGATATGTATTAATCCTTGGATATAATAAAGAAAGTGTAAGAATTAGATGTGGGTTAGTTGTCGATAGGCCTCCGTCCAGTAGCGAAGCAGGTAAATCCCGCTTATTCAATTTTCTTCATAAAATGGCGCCACGCTCTTTGGAGTGGGGTGACTCGGATGCTCTACTCTCCTTTCCTTTCGCCCTACCCTCGAACCCGATATCCACCGAGACCATACAAGAGGCTCCTTCTTATGACCGATACGAATTGTAGACGGAAGCCATTTCTCCAGTTTGGTCTCCGGTCAACAGTTCAGCATTTATGGCATGAGGGTTCGTCTTCTGATCCTTCCCGATGCTGACGGCGATCCGATTGTACTTTTTTTTTTCAAGATTCAAGAAACCCTTGTCGATACATCTGTTGAAGATTGCCAAAAAAAAAATCATATACATCATTAGACTTTTGTGGCCGATGACCAGCATCCCAAACCCCTTGACATCTCAGATCTATCGCAACCTTAAAAGTTTGCACCATTCCAGGTCTGTAGTCATCTAGACCGAGGCTAACTACTCTGTATGAAGTTCCCTGCAGGTGATTCCCATTACTCCGTACTCTGTGTCACTTTCACGATGAGGTCAGTCCACTCGGCACGCCTTGGCCAAGTGGAGCAACAACGGGCGCTAGACCTGTCATCTGCACAAAATACACGGATCTTGACTCGATTCCGGCCCCGACTATCGTCCTTGGATCTTGGTTTCCGGTGGCTGGTCCATACTCAGTACCTATGATGACTCTTGCCCCAAATTGCCCTGTCCGAATCCGAAGAATACATACAAAGAGGATTAACTGTGTCGTTATATCAGCGATGATACAACGGCAGGTAACCTTTGTGCAGTTGGAACTCTGCACCAAATTTCACCTTAAGTCTAAACTAACTTTATTATATATGCTGTAGGGCCAGATCTTGGGATAAATATAGCCCCAGATCTGGAACTATGACATCTGGTGTCTGAAAATGGACAATGGTAACAGTGCTTGATTTCTGGCTTGGTTTCTTAACTGCCGAAGTACACCAAGTTGATTCATGCGACTCTGATGAAATTCGTACCTAACCCTATGCCACACAATGGCTCTATCAGGGCCCTGTTGCTTCGACATTTCTTTCAATTACTATGGTATTCTATGATGTTCAACCATCGTTATAGTTGGCTTTACTTGCAAGAAAGATTAACCCTTGCTCTCTGGGCACAAACCAAGTTAAATTGTGTCCGACTAATGAAAGTTCTGAACGATGCACAGCTCGGATTAGCTTCCAAATTAGATATATACATCATACGGTTGAGCACATGTAAGTCCTCCATTTGCGGGTACCCATCTATATATGTGATCCACATTTTACATAATTTGTTCACAATACTCATTATACAATATCTTTTGGTCTCCACTCTAACTTCTATAAATTAGTATCACAACTAAGCGACGTACGATTAGACCGAGGTATAAGATGGACCGAGATTGAGGATATGGTTGGTATAGTGTATGGGCACATTGTGGAACAACTGAATATTGAGGTGCCACACTAGATATACAGCGAGAACGAGATTGACGATCCTCTACAGGGGACCGTCTTGTGGGCGCAGATTTAATTGAACCCTGGAATTTCGACTGCAGGTCTCCAGAACAACAATATGAGATGTTGCTTGTCTGAAAAACCTCGCCATTGTTGATATCTAGGATGCCACCTTCGAAAAGTCCCAAACCATCAAGCTCGAACACTTTATCAGTCCATGGAAACAATCAAATGGGAGCGTTGGTTAACTGATCGAGACAAAAGCCCATTAACGTGAAGCAAGTACGCAAGTCATTGCGATCGAGCAATTAAGGACATCCATCCTATTATGGCATGCATATAGTCATTATGAGGAGCATTTGTTGGATTCAGACTTTGGATCTCGCTCGGATAGATTTGTATTATGCAGACGTTACTTTTATAGCTGTCTCTGTGTACAGCATACAAAAGTCCGGATATGTAAGTGAAGATAAATATATGCATCTCTGCACTATCGCCAGATTGAGTAGCAGTGAATTGCCCTAGTTTACGACGATTTCTCTACTATCGATTCTAATATTTTGGGGGGAAGTAATTGTTGGGGCGCTGGACTTAAAGTCTGCCTCTGGTACTTCATCGTAATTCTCCGCACGTATGAGTTGGCTGCCGTCTCGCTAGATGGAATTACGAATGAAAGCTTCATTGTCATGTTTCACATGTTAAATTTATCATAAAAAACTCTGCGATTTCAAGCCGCGACGTGTGTTGTATATTTCTCGAGCGTGACTATATAAGCTGGTGAAATATATATCAGGCCTCGCGGTAACTATTGAATCGAAGTTTATACTTACAAACGTAGTTTCCACAAATTAAACCTTTTCCCGCCGTTCTTGGCCGTTGATATATCTAAATAGGATAATATATGAGAGACTACTAAGATAGTCGGCCGACTATTCTGGTAGAGATTGAATTAAGAAAGGGCTTGTGGGGTCCGACCCGACATGGGTATCGTCGATTTCCAATAAGAATTTGAAGAAGGGGAAATCCCATATACTTAGGATAGTAGTGGCTATGCAATGGTGCTTTTGTCAGCCTAGTTCTAGATCATCCATAACTTTGATCCACACAAGTTTCCGCAAGCAACCAGCGCGCGATTCCCGGGTTGGTATTTATAACTTGGGCTAGGGATCTGAGTGACCATCAACAAACAACAGAGGTGAAACATAAAAGCGGTCTGAAGTTCTTGGGATGGGAATATATTGAAAAGGGGAAAGTCCCGAGGTCTCTCCGCCCAAACCTAACATGATCGACATGGGCTTGATGGATTCAGTTTCACCCTTCGGGAAGAGACTGCTCGCATTTTAGCCGTAGGTCCCTTTTTAACTTTGAGTGATATTTGAGGTCTCAGGACTAGCTGGATAGACACAGTTGATGTTATGGTATGTAGGATCCCGTGGAATATAGGCTAAAGCATGAATTTTGTCCTGAGTTGCAAGACATGTTTCAATTTTGCGACATGATTGTCCAATAGAATTGACTAGAGTATTTGAACTAGCCACGCTATTTAAAAATGGAAACGTGCCCGATTTTATGACCTCACAAGCCGCGCAGATCTTGGTCCAAAACTGCATGAACCTGGGATATAAGAATCCTCAGTTCTTCTCATCAAGTCTATCAAATCCACTCTAGAAATTGTTTCGCACTCAAAATGAAGTTCTCCCTCGCTACCATCACTGCCTTCGTCGGCGCCATCAGCGCCGCGAACCTTCCAAACGCCTTCACTCTTGTTGCTGAGGGTGGCAATACTCTCCTAACAGATGGCCAGAATGCCTACATTGGTGCCAACACCACTGACCAGGAAATCCTGATCCGTAAGCATCTAGTCTCTCGTGGTGTCGATACAATTACCTAATATACATGCTTTTCCTAGTCCGAGGCGGCAGCCCCAACGGCCTCGTCTCATACACTTCCAAGAAGAGCACTCCTACTGGTTTCCAGAACCTATTCATCGTTGAAAACTCTGTCTCGCCTGTCGGTTTGACCCGACCTCACTCTGGCGCTGTCCCCGAGGGCGGCAATGTCACTGGTTTTGGTGTCAATGACCAGGGTTTGTTCACTCATGGCGGCAAGGATTGGTTCGCCATTGAGGGCTACGGCGACAATAAGGTCAAGGAGATCTATTGGTACGGTGCTCATAGTTCTACATACCGTGGCGTCAAGCTCTATGTCAAGGAGCTCAAGAATTACTCCGCCTAAAGATTTACTCCGTTTTGACGCTGGGGTTGGTATGATAGAATAGCCTGATAAGAGTTGCTTGTACTTTTGGCGAGACTTTCATGTTTGTACATTGATTTTTTTACTGGGATGCTTTATTCCACAGTATATATGGTATATATCATGAAAATTAAACCAGCCGAACTTTCAAATTTGGTTCTATCTCTCAGGAAAACAATCTATTTAGTTCCATATTAGTACACACGGTTAAATTGAAGCAGCTCCACCAGTTCATCCAACCATCGCCTTGATAGTAGTTTCAAAGCTCTCAGGCTCACGCCCCAAGATCTCACGTAGGACTGGAGACACGACTGCAGCCTCGCCCCGTCTAATGGCCTCCCAAGCTGAAGCCCACTCCCTCGACAGATTAACCCCATGGTATGTCTGCTTATCACCAATCCCAGGAAGATTCACATACTCATCGACCGAGATCTCCCGGATCTTCAGCGATTTTCCCACCGCACGACCGATAATCTCAACCGTCTCCGCAAGAGAGATTTCCCGAGGCCCAGAGAACAGAACAGCCTTGTTCAAATACTCGAAGCTCGCCGGATCCTTGAGGTACGAGACAATCAACTTAGCGGTTGCCTCGCCCAGTTCATCGCGCTTGACCCACGCCACGCCTGGGCCTGTGCCTGAATGAGGGATCGTAACCTCATCTGCTGGATTCTCAAGATCATAGAACGCGGTGTAGATGGGGAAGGACTCAGTGTACAAGCCCTCACGGACTGAGGTGTACGATACCGTTTCTTTCAGAGAAGAGAAGTATTTCTCTGTTTCGATGTGGGCGCCCATCACATGAGCAATGCTCTGGTTGGTTAGATCGCCCCCGAATCCAAGAGATGAGTAGAAGATGTGCTTGACGCCACTTTTGATGGCCGCGTTTATAGCATAGCGGTGTGCCTAGTAATTATTGTTAGACCAACTAATTGAGTGTGCAATACCACTTGATTTCCCTTACCTTGACTCTGTGATCTATTTCGAATGATGCATATGAAACCAGCATCAAAACATCCACACCGTTGAAGGCTGTGTCTAACGTGGATGGCTCATCATAGTCGGCCTTGCGTACGGTAGCGCCAGCTTGCTTGATGTCATGCAGTTGCTCGGGACGTCGAGCAACCAGAACCAGGTCGGATTCTGGGACTAGTTTCGCTAGGTGGTTCACGATGCTTGATCCAAGGGCCCCAGAGGCTGGGAAGACGCCGACCTTAGCACCCATGTTGATATAGTATGAGGATGATAGAAGAGTGATTCGCTTGGTAAGCCGTTGTTGAAGAATCTGTTTGATGATACTGGGATATTTTTTCTAGCTTTTATATCCTACATCCTCTGTACATCTCATAGTAGTTTGCTTATAAATGAAGTATTTGGTCAGAATGACCGAATGCGGTAACCCTGCTGGTTGCTCTATAAATTCATAGATGTCGATCCGTTTCCATTTCAACAAAGAACATACATCACCCCCTTGCGCCAAGATTCCACCCCTGCTAGGAAAATCCCAGTAAAAACTACCGAAGTCGGTGTAGTTCTCCCCTTTAAAAATTATTGCTTGCTCAGCAAGATGGGTACAGGGATGTTGTGACGTCTTCCATTGGTCAACCGTAATTTGAAATATTAAGAGATGAGATATGTACTTCTAAACGCCAACCTGATAATTGACAAATGAACAAAGAAACAACATTGGTAATCATACTCCGAACTCAATGAGGAACGCCTCCGGTTCCAAACAATTCCATCTTGATGCGATCGGCACCCACGCCCTTGGCCTTGAGACCCGACTCGATGTCTGTCATGAACTTTCCAGGTCCACAAATATAATAATCCGTCTTGGCATCATCAAGGAACAAGTCCTCGTCCTTCAACTTAGCCAAGTCAACACGCCCAGCATGGTCGAAGTCCTCGCCTTCCTTCTCTCCCTCTGAGGGGTGACTCGTGAAGAATGTTGCACGAATTGAGGGGAATTGCTTTGGAAGCTCGGAGATGTGCTCTTTGAATGCACGCGCGCCCGACGAACGTGCGCCATGAATGAAATGCAGCTTGCGCGTTGCGGCCGATTTCGAAATCAATGTGTTCAACATCGACGTCAGTGGCGTCAGGCCCACACCAGCAGAGATCAACACGATCGGGTTCCCGGTTTCCGAGTCGGTAGTGGAAAGGAAAAAGTCACCGTAGGGGTGAGAGACTTTGAGTACGTCGCCAATGTTGCATGTATCGTGGAGTATATTGGAGATGCAACCTGGATGGGTGGCAGCATCTGGAGAAGCTGGGTTGAGGCCTTGTTCCCTCTTGACACTGATGCGATAGTAGTCCGGCTTCGGCTGGTCGCTGAGAGAGTACTGTCTGGCCTGTGGGTACTTGAGAGCTGGTACATGGGTCTGGATGGAAATGTACTGGCCGGGCTGGAAGGCGGGCAGGGGCTTTTCATCAACAGGGGCGAGATAGAAGGATGTGATTTCCTCGGATTCCTTGACTTTGTTCACAATCTTGAAATCTCTCCAGTCAGTCCAATCCTCGGCTTGTTCATAAAGCTGCTTTTCACGACCGATCATGATATCTGCGAGCTGCCAGTAGGCTGCGCCCCATGCGTCGTGGATTTCAGGGGTCAATGCCGCGCCGAGCACCTCACCCATCGCTTCGAGGAGGTACTTGCCAACGATCTTGTAATCGTCGGCCTTGATATACAAAGACGCATGCTTATTGCAGATCAACTCAACCGCTGAGCTTAGTGCGCCAAGATCATCGATATGGGAGGCATATGCGTAAAGTGCACCTGCCAACGAACGAGGTTGGTGACCATTGACCTGGTTGGAAGTGTTGAACACAGTGTTCAGCTCTGGATGGGCTGCAAGCATGTTGCGATAGAAGACAGTCGTGATGGTGCTGCCATGTTCCACGAGAACAGGCACAGTCGCCTTGATGAGGGCAATTTGGTCGGGAGTCATTCCTGGGTTAGAAGCCATGATTTCTTATTGAGAAGAATGTTCAACCTCTTCACTACTGGAGATACTTAAATATATAACCCCTGACAGGTGGGTGAGTAATACAGGCGTTCCAAGGTTCTCCACCGGGATTTGAAAAACTCGAGAAGGTGCCTGGCATGATTTGGATGCCGAGACGAAGAACATCTCCGCGGAGAGTGATATACGAAGGGATTAACTCGGAATTTGGAGCGGCCGAAATTTTCTCGTCACAACATGCAACATACAACATGCGATGTCATTTGAACGTACTTTATTAGTCTACAATAAACCATTCGAACAAGATATGTAAATATGCTGACCGTGCATGATCGCCCCGCCACAGTACAGATATATATACTCCGTACTCCGTAGTTCGTCCAGCATAAGGCCAAATGCAACCTAAAATCGAGATACATACAGGGCCATGTTCTTTTTTTATACGCACGTGGTGCCATGCGAGAATGTAAATGAAAACTTCCAAGGTTCCGGGTAGACCCGAGTGTGATGACTCAGCATGAACTTGGCAATATTTACGAGGCAATTCATTTTTAACCGTTCTGGCGTTTCACCTTATATTTATGCTATGCCCCATAAATATTTATGGAGAAGATACTTTCCTTACCATTGGACAATCTACTGAGAATGACGTGTGGGGAGGTCTCGACAATCCTAGTTACCGTTTGCGGAAGTCCGGATGGTCCCGCTCAACGGTTCAACTCTATACGCGAAAATAAATATGTGAGAGCCTATCCTATCGCACCGGGTAAAAGGGCCTCCATAACATAAACCTCAACAGCGGAGTCAAATGCTAATCGATGATACCAGAACCAGCTATGCGACGCCTCCGTATTAAGTAGTGACGTCTGCGATATGGCAATGGTCGTAAAGTGCAAGGCTCAAGGATAGTAGAAGAGGCTGAGATGCTCACCTGGGCATTCGAGACATTAGTCAAAACCTCGACTTCAGCTCGTTTCTCAAATCCAACCCCATTACCCTCGCCATGCTGTTCAAGAAACGCCAGTCGTCTGATAACTCGACGCTCGGGCGGGCCTCAAGTTCCGGTGGCACCCAGCTGCCCATGTTGCAGCTCCCACCCAAGCTGCGGTACAATGTGCTCTGCCTGTTGAGCGAGTTTGTGGGGACTTTTATGTTTCTGCTCTTTTCTTTTGCGGGTGCACAGGTGTCCAATACCCCCAAGCCACCACCTGGCTCCCCTCCGAATACTTCTAATTTGTTGTACTCGGCGCTTTCTTTTGGGTTCTCTTTGACAGTCAATGTCTGGGCATTTTATCGAGTCACGGGTGGTCTCTTCAATCCGGCGGTATGGAGATACCACTGATGAATGGGAATATTTGTAGTTGACATTCACTAGGTTACCCTTGCTCTCTGCCTGACTGGCGGCATGCCCCCTTCCCGAGGGTTATGTGTATTCCCTGCACAACTTGTCGCTGGAATTGCTGCAGCGGGTGTGGCAAGTGCCATGTTCCCGGGCCCGCTAAATTGTGAGACCCGACTCGGCGGTGGGACATCAATCTCACAAGGACTCTTCATTGAGATGTTCATGACGACCCAGCTGGTGTTTGTCATCATCATGTTGGCAGTGGTGAAGCACAAGTCCACCTATTTAGCTCCAGTGGGAATTGGTCTGGCTTTCTTTGTTGCAGAAATGATTGGCAAGTAACCTTAGAATAACCATCTTGGAGTAATACTTCACAATGTACTGTGCTGACCCTTCTCACCAGGTACTTACTATACTGGAGGATCTCTCAACCCTGCTCGCTCTCTCGGACCGGATGTGATCAACCGCTCATTTCCAGGATACCACTGGATCTATTGGGTTGGTCCTCTGCTCGGGTCTCTTCTTGCCTCTGCATTCTATCGACTCCTTTGCTTCGTGCGCTGGGAGAGGATCAACCCTGGTCAGGATTATAACGAGGAAGAGGTGGCCAGAAAGCAGTCGTTGGTTGGTTCGGAGCATACAATCACCGCCAATATCCCTCCATCCCAGTTCCCTAGAAGGGATATTCCGTCTGATGAGCATGTTTAACATCCCATTGTCTGAAAGGCTGTTTCGTGGCTTGGTGATTAATTTCACCTAAGCGAATATAATCGAAGCAAGCTAAAGTGCGCTGAACAAATTTCCTCCCTTTATATAAGGAGAGGGTATGAAATGTGGTTGTAAACGAAGCCGAGAATAATTGATCTGTTAATAAGCGTGGAGGTTGAATTCGAAGCATATCAAGCAATAATGTTGGAGGTTGTGGGATGGAAGGAAAATGCAGCTTGTGTGACCTAACGGGGTGCAGTTGAGCTGTGATTGTCTCCGAATTGCTGATTAGCCTTATAGCGCCAACCTCAATAAAGTCGTGAGTTGTCAAGTGAGCAAATACTTCACATTATAGCACTGGAATTCAAATGCAAGGGTAATCACGCTGCATGTCTTGTATTCCTGCGGGAAAACGCCATTATTGGACTCCCCACCAATGGTTGGTAAGTGTTAGCTTCTGGCGATGAGTCTCAAGGTCCACATCCCTTGGCTGGACTCCAAGTTGATTTGGCATTTAAATCATCCTTTCCAGCTATGTCCGTCTCACCAGCTACAGCTTGAGTTGAGGTGTTCATGATGGACTTGCAACCTGTCGACCCCGAGGCAGTCGCACCGGTCGCGACCGACGCGAGGGGAGATGTCCGTGACGTACAGCTGCTGGGTATGATAGCGTGCTTGCTTTGGGTAGAGATACTCGTCGCTAATGTATTGTCTAGCACGGATGGGCTACAAACAGGAACTTCGTCGGCAGTATTCCACCCTGCAAGTCTTCGCAATCGCTTTCAGCATCATGGGCCTAGTTCCTTCAATCGCGTCGACCCTCTCCTTCTCTCTCCCCACGGGTCCGTTCGGCATGGTCTGGGTAGGGGTTGAGTCACTGTGAATCTGTTTGTGCGTTTGATTGACTAGAATTATGGGACAGGCATGGTTCACAGCGAGCATATTCATCTTCCTAGTTGGATTAGCAATGGTAGGAATCTTTATTGGGCTATCTGTGGGAATATCACACTGATGTTGCCTAGGCTGATCTCGCGTCTGCCATGCCCACAGCTGGAGGACTATATTGGTGGACACATTATTTCGCCGGACCGAAGTGGAAGAGCCCACTGAGTTTCTTGATCGGATATAGCAACACATTGGGTTTGATCGGTGGGATATGTTCAGTGGACTGTGAGGACCATCCATGTCCATTGCCGGCAATCACGTCACTTACTCTTCTTATGTAGACACCCTTGCACTCATGATTCTCTCTTGTGTCTCGATGTCACGGGGAGACGGATGGTCTGCCTCGCGTGGCGTTATCTATGGTGTTTACGTCGGCCTGATTCTCTTCCATGGACTATGCGGCTCTTTGGGTGGAAGGCTAATGCCGAAAATCCAGACATTTTGCATCTATATCAACATTGCCCTTGTTGTTGCGACGGTAATCGCTTTACCAGTGGGGAAAGTGACACGCGGTGGGCCCCTCAACACTGGGCATTATGTCTACGGTCATATCGACAATCAGACTACATGGCCAACGGGGTGGGCATTCATGATGGCATGGCTCGCTCCGATCTGGTCAATTGGTTCCTTTGACTCTTGCGTTCACATGAGCGAAGAAGCTAAGCATGCATCTAAGGCTGTTCCTCTTGGAATCATCTGGTCGGCGGGCTCTGCACTCGTGCTTGGATTCTTGGTGCTGTCTGTCATTGCTGCTACTATGAACCCAGATGTGAGCGCGACAATCAACACCAAATTCGGTCAACCAATGGCTCAGATCTATTATGACGCATTAGGCAGAGACGGTGCTTTAGCATTTATGGCTGTACTCTGCGTCGTTCAGTTTCTCATTGGCCTCAGCTTGATTGTCGCTGCTTCTCGCCAGGCATGGGCATTTTCTCGTGACGGTGCATTGCCATTTTCTAGGTTCTTCCGCCACGTCAGTAACCGCATTCAGTACCAACCCGTGCGCATGATCTGTGGCTTAGTATTTATCTCTATTCTACTGGGCCTGTTGTGCCTGATCAACTCAGCAGCTGCGAATGCCCTATTCTCACTATTTGTGGCAAGCAATTATCTTTCATGGGGCACCCCAATTCTCTGCCGCTTGGTCTGGGGCGAGGACCGGTTCAATCCGGGAGAGTTCTATACCGGCCGCTTCAGCAGGCTCATTGCCTGGGTGGCCGTTGTTTATCTTCTTTTTGGTGTTATCTTGTCTATGTTCCCGACTGAGGGTCCCAGGCCAACGTGTACGTATTTGAAGACTGGAAGGTCGCTCGATCGGATGGCTAACAATCCACTTACCTGTAGCGTCGACCATGAACTACACCATCGTAATAAATGGCTTTGTTTGGTTCGGCTGCATGGCGTATTATTTTATTTTTGCACGGCGCTGGTACACTGGACCCCAGATGACTGTTGATGGGAGTAACTCTACTGCCTCAGAGAATGTCATTGTCGCTACAGTTCCCTGTGCGCCCGCTACCGATGAACCTGGTTCTTTTTATAAGAAAGAATGACACTTGGTCATTCGATTTCTGCTTTTGTTATATAATGACTCCCGCGATATATCTCTCGCATTCATCCTTGCCTTTCGCACCTCTTTGTCAGTAGGGGTTTCAAGGGGTACGAAGGTATTCGGTGCCTCATAGACACATCTGCCTATCTCTTAAATTGTGCGTATGTATGGTCACCAGATTTCACGCAGCTGATTATTTTGAAGTACGAACTTTGAAGATCAAGCTTAATCACGGAATGACGTCTTCCGATGTCGTTCTTTAGATAAAAGAGGTGTATTTTCTATGTCATTTTCACCATGTACCTATTACCTTGAGATTCGGTTGCGATTGTGATTTATCGTTTCCACTGTATTCATCTTCAGCCTACTGCCAATTCTCACATCCTACAATGTCTAAGTGGGAACACCCCTCTCGAAGTCACCCAACCACTCATCATCAGGACTGTGAAAGCAGTTTTGAGAACGTCATCCAAACGTTGGGCCAGGGAATCAGAAATAGCAAGCCTAAAGAATATGTCTACGACACAGCCGTCGTTCTCGGTCTACGATGGAGCAATGATGACCTAGGCTTGGCCAAACCTCAAGATGGACTTCTCCAAACATTTCGGAGACAATATGGATTCGAAACGGCTAGTCTGCTTATCCCCTCAACCTCTAGTGAAGATGCATTGGCAGCGATGTATCACACAATCTATAAACTCCGCCAGGACTATAAAATGGACCGCGATGTTAGCCCTCTCCATCGGGGCACGTTATTTGTGCTCCACTATATCGGTCATGCTGTATCCGAATCAGAATCGAAGTTTGAAATCTGGTAATGTCTTTATTAGTACGCATCCATTGTACCCATTCAATATCACTAATATCGACTCTCAGTGGAACCCGCAGCCCTGACGCGGTTAGAATCCCGTGGTCCTCTATTCATCTTGGCATGAAGGCAGACGTCCTCGTTCTAATCGACACCTCCTTCTCTGGGAGCTTCCAGGAGCCATGTTACAGCTTGGGGAAAATACTACAGTACAGTGATCGTGCTGCTGAGCACTTGTTCTCGACAGGCAACGAGATTTCTGATCAGAACGGTCCCACTTACGATGTTAACAACAATTTCACGACCCGTCTGACAGAACTTCTGTATGCCGCGTCGCCAGTACCGGTTACTATTGTACAGCTCCACGAGGCTCTCTGTTCCCAGGCCAATGACCCAAGTACCAAGCTGCGCTATACTCCTCAGTATATTGACTGTCGCAAACCGACGATCGTTCTCCAGCATGTCGATAATACCGCGTGGAGAATCGAAAATCCGACAAGAAAGGCACAAATACCTAAGGGGCGTGTCCTAGTTTCCGTAACCATTCGAGGGAATACCGCTCGCGGCCAAGTCAAGCAGTGGCAGACGTCGCTATCAAAAATGGACGCCGAGGTGACCATCGCAGGTGTCTTTGACCTTCAAGGGTATTCTCTGTGTCTTTTATCGATGCCGATCTCTTTATGGGATAGCTTTCTACACCCAGCGTACAGATTTATAAGTTATGTGGAGTCTCACAACCAACTGGCATCCGATACCAGCGCTGGTAGCCCCCTCGTAGCCACGCTACCAGAGAGATCAAAGGATCCAGCGTATGTTGACTATGTCATGCTCTCTCATACGGAGGAATAATCTGGGGACATGATATGTCAGCGTTTTAGGACCTCGCTGCGGGAAGGATCGCATGCCATGATGCAGGGACAGATTTTTGTGCCTTTAAATTGTGTTCATTATGTCAAGTCTCTGTTTAGCTTATATACTCGAGAAATGCTGCTAGCTTGGGATATCTAACAAAGAAATTGTGTCCAATTGGTTATAAAACATTCTATAGAATACGGCTACTGGTGGTAGGACCATCAGTAGATTCAATAAAGTTGGTATAGTCAAAATGGCCGATCAAAACACAGAGTGTACAGCCAAGGTATATGTACAGATTCCAGAGGACGCCGGGATTAAACTTCATTTCCCAGATGCGCGGAAGCAAGCGACGAACAAATAATCGAGAGAATCATGAATAAAAGGCGTAATAATGTATGTCATGCCTGGTATCGAATCCAACCAAGAATCAATGGAGTAAGGGATCAACACTTTACAGTGCAACCATGACACCAAGGACACCGGCCATACCAGCAGCAACAACGCCGACAGCAGTGGGACGAGCGAAGGCGCCATTGTCAGAGGGGGTGGCAGAGCCGGAGGGAGATCCGGCGGATGTGGTGGACACGGTAGCGGTGGCCGAGCCGGCAGCGTCAGTCAGGGTGGAAACAGCGGTGCCAACCCGGCTGGTAACCTCGGAGCCGATGGAGCTGGCTTCGGAGGCAGCGGCAGAGCCGAGGGATGAAGCCTCGCTCTTAACAGATGAGAGGGCACCAGCTCCGGCGGTGCTTGCGGCTTCTGCGAGAGATGTGGCCTTTGAGGCAATCTCGGATCCGATAGATTGGCCGCCGCCGACGGCAGTGGAGTAGACGCCTTCGACGTCGGAGACGATGGAGTTCACATCAATGCCTTCTGGGGAGGCCATGGCAGCAGTGGCCAGGAAGAGGACGGAGGAGACCAGAGTGAACTTCATTTTGATCGTTGGAGAGGTAAAGGTTTATCGGGAGGATGTTGCTTGATTTAGGGGGTTATTTGGATTGTAGATAATTAACTGGGGATAATGATAACCTGGAAATCCGGGGGAGGGTTACTTCTTATATTCGGTTAATGGACACTAGTTTCCTATAGATAGAAACGTCCGGAGTTTGATTGCGCATGGCTAGGCAGCCGAGGTGGCAGTGGCGACATGACCTCAGCCTTGTAGCGATTCTCATGTCGATCGTGGGGTCCTTTCAAGGATAGGGGCTAATACGGAGTCCTCCATACTGGGTTAGAGAACTGTATTGGATATCCCACCATACGATTTTAGGCAATGATATCGTCATCTCGGGATCCACCTTGTAATGAGGGAGCAGGTTATGGGCCCGTTTCGACGACCTCGTCGCTCACCCCCAGGAAACACCTGCAAGATCTACGGAGGTACGGAGTAGACGTGCATGTTTTCGCACGTTCTCGCACGTTCTCGCGGGAGCTTGATTCGGTTTGTTCGCAGGGCAATGCAACACAGCCACCTCGCAATTTCTTGGGTGTTTTGCGGCATTAGCGGGTCCAAACAACTCGATCCGCACCGGAGACCCCGGTACCATCCCATCCTGACACATAACTAGCCTAGGGGTGGCTTGGAGGAAGATCTTACCGACCATAAGTTACGTGAGTGGTAGACAATGGTATGAAAGCGAGTCTTCCCAATATAGTGGGTGGATTCTTGTGTTGGGTAAACCAGTCTCGGCGCCCGTCATTATAATTAGAACAACAAGCCACTTGCAATTTCCAAGGTATCGGCCCTTGTCGCATTTTTGGCTGAGAGTAGCCAAGGGCTTCGATGACGCGTCATCTGGCAGGATTGAGCGCCATTATTGCAAAGGGATAGCTAGAATCATGACTGGCTGTGGACTCAGTTGCCGAGATATCCACTATTGGCCTCAGGCAGAGATATCACGTGCAGTGGCGACACACTAAAATAAGAAAACAGCCAGGACGCCAAAATATCGTCATCGAGGAGCGGTACATGGAAGTACTGTCATGAACATTTTCATAAATAATTTTTGAGTATCCAATGCGAGAGAGATTATGAAGGAAATAGAGACTTGTGGAGATGAAGAGACAGGGTATTTATATTCAGACATCATTGTTGACAGGGTTGTGAAGCTTCATACCCAGACCTTTCTCTCTCCTCATGAACTTGTGGGATTCGCCAAGTTTGTAGCCAGAGAAAGCCACGTCAAAACGATCCTCTGTTTACTACGGGTTACTTGTTACGACAGGAGGGACCGCAACTTACGGATGGGCCACCAAGAGCCAATCGTTCACAGGGAGAACAACCTGCATACACTTCACATCCATGGATGCGACCTGTCAAAGGAATCGTACGACGACGGAATAGACAATATCCATTACAACATACATACTCCATACATACTATGTACATACCTCAATGATGCTGAGTATACTAGGGTGGTAAAAGATCTGAGGTCTGGAATAACACTAACGCAAGTATTTGTTGTTCAATGTTCTAGGTTCAATTTGTATGTACATAGCCACGAACCTACCTCTCTTGTCATCATGGAAGTTCTCAGCTCTATAGATAAGAATGAGACTATTGAACTGTATCCACGAATGATGACTGGCTGATATCCGGATTCTGCTAGAAAGAAGAGTGTATCATTAACTCTTTTCCTTTGGCTTTCTTTCTTCATATACGGACAAGATTTTCGGATCGCATCCTCCTTTCAACGATGCTATTGTCAAACATAAACGGATCAATCCATACGAAACATAGGACTAAAGTATGTTGCACTAAAAATTATAGGGTACAATGCCGCTCGAGTGATAAAAATGATAGGTCTAACGTATTAAATACGTTTAATAAGGATACCTGCCATACTATATGATAGTTGATACAACGAAGAATAATAAATAAAAGTAATAGTCAATAAGAGAGGCCCTGTCGTCGATACGCTCAGCCTAATCCGCGGCCTCGCAACTGGACCAGGTGCGAGGCCCAATATGATCTGGTCCCTACAACATATAGCTCGCATAGTACTAATAGTACTAACTATACCTAACTTGATAGGAGGCAGACAGTAGAAAGTAGAATTCAACCAGTAGAACAACGCAAAAGGACTTGAAAGCGGTCTGCAGACTAAAGTTTAACAAACACTTGTACACGTATTCATCCACAAGAGACAACCATCTGCGTAGATCCTCCAATATCGTATCCTCGCATCTCCTTACAGACCGTGTGGGTCCCCTCATTTCAGCTGATCTGGTCTGCAGCATTTGAAGAATCACAGTCCAGAAACAACTGCTTCATAGTATATATGTTTACGTGTAGTGCGGACTCTGAGATAGTTACCAGTGATCAAACTAGAGGATTTCGGTCTGACCGTTGTTCATTAACACTTGAGCATCTTGTTCAATGTGTCAGTATTAACTAGGTGCACAATGGACAATATGAGTTACCGAAACAACCTCACAAGGACCCTGTTACTTGCATATTGATGTGGGGGTTGGAATCTTGGGAGTCTTTCAGCCCGCCACAAGATTGGCATTTGGCTGCTGAAGCGGTCAACTATATTGTAGACAGAAAAGACATCTGCGAGAATATTTAAGCTGCCTGACATGCCCTGCAAACTTCAGCAATCAATGCTAAATTAACTCTAAGAATCATTTTCAGACCAAGTTTCATTTACACATCACAATGGCTTCCGATGACAATATATTCGATGACGCCAATCTTCTTGGCCAAAGCCTGACCATGCTTCCAGGAGGTAAAGTCCCCTCTAATTGAACTATTGCAATCATCAAAGAATACATGAATCGTCAGATCTTTTGTCCATGATCGTAGTCGGTCTTACTCGTCACTTGACTGATCTTGCTGACAATAAGCTATAGAGCATGACCCATTCAACGTGAATATCATAGAAGGAGACAAGAGTACCGTCGTTGGACTAGCAGATGAAATGCACAAGGCACAATTCGCAGATGGAAATACTTACTTGTTGCCCAAAAATGTCCGAGCAAACATTGGTAACCGCAAAACTGTCGTCAACTCCATTAGGGTTGAATCCGGCGATGAACTAGCCCAAGAACTTGATGCTAGTGCTTCGTTGAGTGGTAGTTACGCGGGTTTCTCTGCAAGCGCGTCCGCCCAGTATAGCTACGGCTCAAGCCTAAGCAGCACAAAGTACTACGCCCTTCTCAGTGTGGACCATACATCCTTTACCTTGGCACTTGAAGGCCATGGCGAGACTGATTCGAGGATCAATTCAGAACTCGTTCAAGCCGTGAAGAAGCTTCCTGAGTGGGACCTAACGCAAGAGGTTCACGACAAATACGTGCGATTTTTCCGCAGCTGGGGCACCCATTAGTATTAAATCGTGCACCTTCGGCGCTCGGTTCCAGTTGAAGATTGAGAATCATGCATCGGAAACCCAGTCAAAGGAGAATTTCTAGGTGAATGTCGGTGCTGAGTATAATGGTATCGCCAAAGTCAAAGGCGACGTGAGCGTGAAAGGGAGCAACGAGTACAAGAGTTATCTCAAGACCCGTCAATTCCAGACTAAAGTGTACGGTGGGAGCTCCAGCTCAAGTCTTATTCTTGGTAATGCACCAGACGAAGCAGAGAAATACCAAGAGGCCTTCAATGATTGGGCCAACAGTCTCAATGACGCGGTTGCAAGCAATCTGATCAATGTCAAGATCGATAGTATTGGAAACCTATTGAGCAACAGTTCTGTCCAAGAGCACAACAATATCGCAGACAAGCTGGTCAAAGCGCTTGACTTCCTGGCTAGTAAATGGCTGGCAGATGGCTTTTTGAAGCTATGTTTGCCTAAAGAGTCACCTTCTCAGACTCATGTTCGCGAGCTATCCATCCAGGGGACACCGGGTGTCTTGATACGTCAAGGCTCACAAGAAAAGCCGCGACTTGAAATCGACTGCACCGTTTGGGAGAACGAGACATTCATTATGGATGGCGGCTGGGATGCAGTCCAAGTAGTTTTGCAGCCACCTTCAGCAAGTAAATCTGAGATCCAGCTTCTCTACTCGGGCCTGGACAACACGAAGTGGATGGAAGAAATACGCATGAGAGGAGCCAGAATCGAAGGTGACGTGGTGATTAATGGGGTGATCCCTATTACAATTCTAGCACCCCCCACGGCTCTTACTGGGGAGTTGTCTAACCCTACTAGTCAGTCGTTGACTAACACTGACTTGGACTTCTCGCCACGCGGTCCAAAGTTGCATCTGGCGGAAGGGAAGACGAAGGAGGCATTCAAAGTTCGTTCACTATTTCTGCCTGGCTTCGGGGGCAACGACTGTCAAATTGGTGCATGCTTTACCAAGGACTGAAATCACGTAGGTTTACCACACAGTTCTGGATCCAAACTTGTTACAGCTAGCTAAAGGGGTCCAGCACGGAGAGGTAACATGGTATTGAGGACTACAATATCTTGACATTATTGAGTCGATGATGGAGAGGAGGATGTCTGTGCATAGTTTCCAAGGAAAGAATTTCGGTCACATTTTAGATCGAGGTAATTTCAATATACATCGAAGACTTAACTTGAGATATATCGAGACCTCAATCTAGATTGTCAATAAAAAAGGATGCACTGCAAATTGTTCCCTCTTCCATATGTAAATTACTAACAAAATGCATATATCCAGTGATGCAATAAACACAATACGTATATCATGCTATAAACTGGCCATAAACCTGGATGATGCCTTCCCATCCGCCTTTGTAGTTCGATTGACGGGGATTGGTTTTTCCATCAAGCACCATCACGTCCGTCATGCGTGTGCTGATCGAGTACCAAACCAGATTCTGAGGGTCATTCGTCACTCGCATCATGTTGGTTTGGCAGTTCCCATTGCAAGGCTCATTATATAGACCATTCCAGAATCCGTCGAAGAAGGCCCAGGCAGCTGAGTTGTACAGCGCGATGTTGGACCCGCCGTCCACATTCGTTGCTATCGCAGTGCGACACTTTTGGTCATTTGCAGCACACCATGAAAAATCAGGGTCACCGTATTTGGCGACAGCTGTCCATGGTGCCGGCGCGGCCTGGTATTCTCCCTGACCTTGCATATACGGTGTTTCTGTTTGTAGAAGGCCCGCAAAGACATTTTGAGCGTTATGGATGTTATAGTTATACAGCCAGTGATGCTCGGAACCAGTTCCTGTCAGCCAGGTTCCCTTGATGGATTCGACCAAGATTCCACGGCCAGTTGAGATAATGGTGAGCAGTGACTCGCTGTCAAGGTTGTGATCGGCGGTCCATCCCCAGAAGTTCTCGATATATGCAGATGAGGTCTTGGTCAGGTGCATTACCATGAACGTTGCCATACAATCCTTAGGGTCTTGCGATGTGCAAACACTAGAGATACTAGTGTCAGCGGTGCCGCCAACCAACGCCATCGTGTTCCATAGACCAACGTCGCCGGGCTTATCACCTGCGGCATTGATTTCAATGATCTTAGCCCCCGGCAATATCTCGCCAACAGAGAATCGCATGTCCTGAATTTCAATCACACCGACGTCATCAGGATTGCCAAGTTGAACAACAGGCCTTGGGTTGTTTGGATCCTTAAACTTGTCACCATATCCAGAAATGACAGACCATGCTTCTCCGACAATGCGGGTTCCGACTGGGACAAAGATAGTGTCTGAGACTCGATATACACCGAAGGGAATGTATGTGATTTTGCACGAATCGGCATTTTGAGCCAAGATAGCGTTCAGACCCTTGGTGTCGTCAGTCTTACCGTCACCTTTTACTGTATGTGCAGATACAGTTTTCACATTGACAATATCCGCTGTGCTGTAATCTTGGTAGGTGGGCTGAGGCTTGGTAAAATATTTATCTCCCACCAGTAGTGGGGCTGGGCGCTTTGTCTTCCAGCTTGCTCCAGTCTGATAGCTTGTTGGAACGACAGTACCCCAAACCCATGTATCGATATGGGAGGTAGCTGCTAATGCCACCTTTCCCTGGGAGTCGACTGCGATAGCGTTCTGGGTATCATGCTTTAGGTTCTGAATGAGGAACTGACTGTTTCGGTTTCCAGAATCACCGGACGAGTCATAGAATCGAATTACCGGGCCCGAGTTTGTCGAAGTGGAATCCAGAAGCACTAAGCTACCCAATCCATTGCTAGTCATATCGATACTAGTTCCGCAGCTATCAAAAGTTGCCTGCTGGAGCAGAACCGTCCATCCACCTGCGGCGGAGAAAGCTGTTGTGCAAGAGTGGAAATTTATGTTTTTGAAGTTGACTTGTTGGTTGGAGTTCTTGATTCCAATAGCTCCGCCAATAATATCCTACACTTTGTTAGGCTGCTTTGTCCCTTTGTTTTGCTTCTCTGGGTTGCTTACCACATCCGTCACAGCAATGGTTGACCCGGCATTGATATGGATTCCAGTGTGGCCAGTAGAAGACTTTGGCATGCGAATCTTAACGTTTGTCAAGCCCGACCCTTGCGCAACTCCCCATTGAAGAGCAGTGAAGTGGCGGTCGGGGCTGAGGGTGGTGGTATCGATGATCACATTCTTGACAAGCATTGCAAAGCTAGTTTCCGGGTTGCCGCTGTGTGAATCGTATCCCATGATGAGATAGTCCCCACGGAAGTCCGGTGCAGGCTTGATGATGGGAGGGTTCAACGGATTACCAACAATAATCGTACCCACAGTCAGGTTCAGAGTGCTTCCAAGTTGGTATACGCCTCCTGGAAGGTAGACCTGGGCAGGGTAACGCGTGACACCTTGGCCTTTACGGCTGCCTCCCACGCCGTCATCATCTATGGCCTTCTGTAGCTTCGGGGTTTGATCACCAGAGCCATCATTGACGACCGAGTAATCCATCACATTGCGGTAGACCGGGTAGAGCGATGTTTTAGCATAGGGAGCAAATCCTGCTCCTTGTTGGTTGTGATCCTGCTCGTCAAGCCAGTAACTTTCCGGCGATTTGCTGGTGGGGGCAGCACAGGTCTTTGTCGCGGGGGAATGGTCATTTTGAGATTTCGCACTAGACAGCTTTATTAGCATCCTTGAATGCAAGAAAATGTTAAAGGACACATACGGTAGAGTTGTGGCACTAGCCTTTGTCGATTGAGTGTGGGTAGCATATGTACTAGCCTGTGGTATCTCTGAGGAATGAGCCACTTTTGGTGAATGGGCGGCCATTGAACCGTCGGCATTTGTTGCAGTTGATAAAGTCGTAGTGCTCGAGTATTGAACAGGAGTAGCGGGAGGTGCACCGGTAAGATCTTCCAAAAAAGATTCAAAATCCCAATCAAAGAAAAAATCATCATTTGATGGTGTATGAACGGCATGCGATGGAGACGCACGCACCAAGCGTTCAGGCACAACAGCACCTGATACTGTAGCCACAACAACCGCCACTGTCAAAGATGAGAAAACCCTCATATTCAATCAACCACAAACCACAACCTCAAACTCGAAGCAGATAGAGGAAAGGGAAAAAGGATGGGTGGATATATGATAATACCAAAAATGATCCCCCTGTAATATGTCAGGGTTTCGGCAGATACCATGCAGACGATCATGGAATGTACACAGAGACTATCTTTGAAGAATGTGTATACACTTGTTGGTGCACCATGAATGAGCACTTCCCCCCCCTGCAAGATTCTAGCTTTGTAACCTTTTAGAAAAACTACCACAGGCTTATGTCGTCGCTGCAACTACCCTTGTAGGTCCCTACTTTCTTGGCTTCCAAGGTTGATTGGATTCAGGCTTACGTTACAATGTGCTGATCCCTATCCCTGTAGACAGAAGTGAAGTATTCGATATCCTCAATTAGGATTAACAACCTTGACTATGATTCAGGGTGTTGATTCAGCGTCTTGAACTGTGTGTATTTCTTTTCGTGATTTCAACACGAAAGGACTGGAGATACGTTGAAGACTTTTGTGAATGTTCTTACGCCTCTTCATCTATTCCTTTTTTCCCTACATGGATGTATCGAAATCACCCGTGAGGTTCGAGGATACATCTTGATCTTTATCCTCTATGAGTCCCAACGTGCAATAATATGTATAATACAAAATCGTGTTAAGAATATGTGTTGACATGTTCAGAATGCTCTAGACTCGAGCCACATGGCAATTGAATGTCAATACAAAGTCACCCCTTGCATTGGGTCAACGGTCGATGGGTGTTTACTGCATGCCAACAGTGGGTATGTAGGAAATATGCCCAGAACTCGGCTATCTGATATATGTTGAAGTACGTACCGGAGCCTATCTCTACCCTAATTGGGCATAATATACTCCGTACATGAAGATATATATTAGACCACGGAAAAACAACAGTCTATTAGGGTATTTTGTGAAATAATGTCTTGTCCTATTACAAGCATTTCGAGCTTTCGGAAGTGTAAACCTGTCCTTAAATTTTAGGAATATGAAAGGAGCCCAAAGTTGCTTGTACTTGTTTCATATGTTGCTAGTAGTATCATCGATGATGGATAATTGCCCATGTGCAAAATTATTTAGATCTGGGTTTTCTTTGTAGGCAATGTGCCCTTTCCTATAGCAATTACATGATGATACTGAACAATGTGTGGCGAGAAACCTAGTCCGAGATTTGCGTGGGATAGATTTCCGATGAGGCGACACCTGCAAACAATACCTCATCGGAAAAAGCTCACAATCCCGTTGAGATGATTTCTTACACCTGCGCGAAAATAAATTCCTTGATTGCCGACCGTGGTTCGCCAGTATCCCCCAATCACGTCTCCGTGAGCTCATCTAGCAATTATGATAGCCCAACTTGACATGGGACCTTCTGTGGTTCATAATATTTTCACTGGAAAAAGAAAATCGCCTACAAACTCATTTACTCCGGAGACTAGAGGTTGGCAAAGGAGTGAAAATCACGCGTCGCCTTCATGTCAGACGCATCCATCAGTAGCTCCAACGAGAAGTCGGACCCAGAAAATACAAGCTCGTCCGAAGTCTGGCAGGATGCACCTCAAACCAGCCAAGATGAGGAGCCAGCACCCCGGGTTCGATTTCGATCAAATGCGGATTTTATGCAAAAGGCCCAGCATCACCCGCCAGCAGAAGGTCCCCGGGAAGAATGGGAACATGCTCACAGTCAAGCGCTGGCACATAGACCGACAATGCCATACTCTCATGAATCCGAGGATATTACCGACACGCCACTGCAAGATCGTGAGCCACACCCGACTGAGACAGAAGGCGTCGAAAGGACAGACCAGAACAAGCCACCGGAAGGTGAAAAGAAGGAAGATGAAAAGCAGGAAGACGAGAAGAAGGGGCCTGAGACACCCGAGCAGCGATCCACACGGGAGAAATTGCGAGATATGACTAGGGACTTCAGACAGAAAGCATCGGAATTCGGTGACCGCCTGGGCCGCCCACAGACCGAGGGAGACGACTTATCAGCCGGGAAGTATCACGCGGACTGGGCGACCGGCGGTGCAGTTGCCCTGTCTGACATGACAGATGACAAGCACAAAAGTGTGGAGGATAAGCAGCGGCACCAGAAGGGGACCAGCAATGAGGCTCATCGTCTGGTCCGAGATTTGACCCAAGATCATTCCCAAAAGCGTCGCAAGGGTCGTCCGAAGCCTTATCCTCACGCCGGGATCGAGTTTGAAGACGAAGAGAATGAACCAGGGGCTGATCCGAACTTCAGATATCGCTCTGGTGGAGGTGGGATCCTGTCGCAGTTGATCAAATTGCAAGGTGGTCAGCAACAAGGTGCTGGAGGCCAGTCTCGAACCTCAACTGACTCGTCCCGTAGCGCAGAATCCGCCCCCAGCGGGGCACCAACCCCAACCGGAGCCGGACCCCCCAAGAAGACAAAGCCAGTAAAATGGTATAAAAAGCCCCAAAATGCATCCAATTCAACCTTGATTGGTGGGCACGCGGATAGTTTCAGTGGTGCGAGCACTCCTGTGTCGAGCGAGATCCTATCACAAGCGTCGAAGCGTCGCGACAAGGAGGGTGGCGGCGGTGGAGGTCGGAATATGCGGCTTGAGGATGAAATTCGAGTGACGGTGCATATTGCAGAGATTATCTGTCGGCAGCGGTATATCATGCAGCTCTGCAAAGCCTTGATGTTATTCGGTGCTCCCACACATAGACTTGAAGAATACATGCAGATGACCTCAAAGGTGCTGGAGGTTGACAGCCAATTCCTATATCTGCCAGGCTGCATGGTCATGTCGTTTGATGATCCTTCTACCCGTACAACGGAGGTGAAGCTGGTTCGCGTCGCCCAGGGAATTGATTTGGCTCGCCTATCGGACACACATCTCATCTACAAGAACGTAATCCACGATGTGATCGGCATTGAAGAAGCAATCCAGGAGCTCGATTCAGTCATCAAGAAAAAACCTCAGTATCACAAGGCCATCGTTGTTTTGGTGTATGGGTTGGCCACTGCCACTGTGGGACCTTTCGCCTTCAGTGCTAGGCCGATTGACATGCCAATCATTTTTCTTAATGGTATTCTTGTCGGTTTAATGCAACATGTCGCAGCACCTCGTTCGGTGTTATATTCAAATGTCTTTGAAGTGACATCGACAGTGGTGACGTCCTTCCTTGCCCGAGCTTTCGGTAGCATCGCCCTTGGAGTTGAGAACGGGAAGCCACAATATCTCTTTTGCTTTTCCGCCATCGCGCAATCATCGATTGCATTGATATTGCCAGGCTTCCTTGTTCTTTGTAGCAGCTTGGAACTTCAGTCTCATCAGATCATCGCTGGCTCGATTCGGATGGTCTACGCTCTCCTCTTTTCGCTGTTCATTGGGTATGGAATTACCGTTGGCACAACCATCTACGGGCTAATAGACAACAATGCGGTATCTGACACTTCGTGCCCAGAAAAGGGCGCCTTTAAGAATCCCTATGTTCAACGGTTCCCCTTCGTTGCGATCCAGACAGTCTGGCTTTTGATCATCAACCAAGGAAAATGGAAACAGCTCCCACCTATGAGCGTCATCGCATTGGCGGGCTACATTAGCAACTACTTCAGCACGAAGAAACTGGGATCAAACTCCCAGGTTGCGAATACAGTCGGCGCGTTTGTCATCGGCGTCATGGGAAACATATACAGCAGGTTTTGGCATGGTCACGCTGCGACCGCTATTCTGCCTGGCATTTTCGTTCTTGTTCCATCTGGACTTGCTGCTACGGGTTCTTTAATCTCGGGTGTACAGTCTGCGGATGAGATTCGTACCAATGTCGGGTCTCATGGTGGTGGCGCTGGTTCAGGGCCCGGAGCTGGCTTATCCTCCGGTAGTTCTGTATTCAGTCTAGGATTTGGTATGATCCAAGTAGCTATTGGCATTACGATCGGTTTGTTCATCTCCGCATTGGTGGTTTATCCATACGGCAAGGCCCGCAGCGGACTGTTTAGTTTCTAGGCTATTCGTTGCTACGCCGTTGGAAACTGGCTTCTAGCCTGTTGATAATAGGATAATATGTACAACAAAAAGAAGGAATAAAGAACATACATGCATTCATCACTTCTCAGCCTAGGTGAATAATGCCTAGATACGCTTTAGGGAAATTAGCGTAATGGTGGGAGATGATACGGCCTGTCTTCAAAATTCCTTCCATTTAATATTTTGCTCCCATGCATTTGCAAGACGCAAGATAGTCAGCTCATCGTGCCACCTGCCCACAATCTGCATACTGGCAGGTAACTTCACGTTGTTATCCTCATGCGCCGGCACAAACCCGATAGGGATTGCTAGCGCTGGGTGTCCAGTGGCGTTAAATTGGCAAGTGTTTTCTGTCATCCCTTTCGCAGCTTCCATTTGAACCATTGGCATTGCTTCGGCAACTGGGAGGCGGTTTGCGGGCAAAAGGGTCGTGGGCATTATAATGACATCCACTGAAGAAAGAACATTGTCATACAGGTCCTTGAGCTTCCGCATAATGTTAACGGCCTTCGGGTACAGGGTTCCATATCGCTGCCAGGCGAACTCGCCGCTGAGTAGGGCTTCTTTGCTCATAATGCTCATCTAGAAGGCAGGTTAGCGGGCTTCACTCAGTGAGGGAGGTATGCGATTTGAAGGGTGTGGAATTACCTTGCTAACCACATCAGGTGTGTAGGGAAGACTCTTCTTTTCAAACAAATCTGTCAACATCACTTGTCGTCGACCTGTGGCTTGTCCCATCATTCCCATATGGTTTCCCATCTTGCTGACCACAGAATACACTGATCTTCCGTGAGAATGAAGAGGAACGCTGACCTCCTGGAGGCTAGCCCCCAGCTTTTCAAAAACATTAACCGCATTTCTAAATTTTTCCTCTATATTCGGGTCAGTCTGAGCCGGTAGACCTTCCTTCAAAATGCCTATTCGCAACCCCTTAATTCCAGCGACACTACCTTCCCTAAGCAAGTGTGAATAACGTGGTACTTCTGAACGGAGGGGAATTCCCGGTCCCGAGCGATCATCCAACCCATCAGCACCAGCAATCGCCTCCAACAATATCGCATTATCCATGCAAGTGGTTGTAATTGGTCCAACATAATCCAGACTCGCATCGTTGCTCGCAATACCCGTGTATGGTACCAGCCCTGCTGTTGGTTTGAACCCATAGAGCCCCGTGAGGGCAGCTGGGATGCGAATACTGCCTCCTTGGTCACATCCGATCCCCATATCCGTGGCTCCGCTCGCCACAAGCGCCGCCGTCCCGGAACTGCTGCCTCCCACCGAGTATTCCCGCGCATAAGGATTGTGCACAGGACCAGTTGCGGCGGTCGAGCTAACGGCTCCACGAGACAGGTTCTCGCATACCGCCTTGCCAGTGATGATGCCGCCGGCATCAAGAATGCGTGAAACGACCGTGGCATCGGTATGCGGGACCCAGTCGCGGAAGGTGTCGGTGCCGAGTAAACACGGTACGGCGGCGACGGAAATATTGTCTTTCAGGCAAATAGACTTGCTTTCCAGGATATTGGAGCTCGGGGAATTAGACGATAGATCAAAGCGCCAGGCCCATGCACCGAGGGGGTTATCAGCTGGCAGGGGGAAGTGGACATTTTGCCGTGGGCTGATGGTTTGATTTGGTTCAGGTTGGTAATCATCCATTCCAGCAACCAGCTCTAATGTGTTTTGGGTTCGCGCAAGAAGCGCTTCGTAGTCTGCAATCTGGTGCGCTGGAATTTCCAATGACAGCCCTTTTGCCAGGGAAAGCATTTCGTCTCGAGTTGGAGCCATGATGGGTGTCAAGAGACACTGCAGTTTGATGTGCAGTATAGTGAAACACGTTCAATTGCAATGACTTTCTTGAGTCGCTCAAAGCAAACACCTTGTGTCAAATCCTTATCATGGCCAAGGATTGAACCCGGGTTCGCAATCGAATAACATCTCCAAGAGTCATCTGCCTAGGTCGAGAAGTGGAGTTCATTTGATTAAATCCCGCTATCACGAGGGGGTATGTCCGCTATTTTCAGCTTTGTCGCTCTGAATTCCGCGATTTGCTTGGAAGTTCCCCACACTTTGGATTCGGAGCCTCCGACAACCCCCGCTTGATATCGGATATCAGCCGAAGGAGATAACAACCGTGGAGTTCACTCATTTATCCAATTGTGATTTCTCCCAAAGTTTACACTCAATTGTACCTGTCTTCATCAGCACTTGACACAATATCGCTTCCCAATGGTTCACATCGACCCAAAGTATCAAGTCCCCCGAGACTTCGAGGGTTTCGGCGAGGAGGGCTTCGACGCTAAATGGCCCAACGGTGCTCGCATTGCCGTTTCGTTTGTTCTGAACTATGAGTAAGTCTTTTATCCACTTAATCTGGTGGCATTACCTTCAAGCACCACAAACTGACTCCTGCTAGGGAGGGTGGTGAGCGCTGTATCTTGGACGGCGACAGTATCTCAGAGTCTTATCTGTGGGAAAAGGGTGCTTCTGGTGGACACCGTGAAAATGCGCGCTACCTCAATGCGGAGCAGGACTTCGAGTACGGGAGTCGTGTATCTTCATGGCGACTGATCCGTCTGTTCAAAGAGTTCGGCTGGAACTTTACCACATATGCTGTTGCAGTCGCCCTGGAGAAGAACCCAACATTTGCTAAAGCCTTGGTGCGTGATGGACATGAAATCGCTACCCATGGGCTGCGGTGGAAAGACTTCTGGGAATTTAGTCTCGAGGAGGATAAGGAATATATCAAGCAGAGTCTGTTGATGTTGAAGGAGGTCACCGGCGAGATGCCCGTGGGTGCCTACTTTGGTCGTGGAACACCGCAAACACATCACCTGTTTCCTGAAGTATGGAAGGAGCTGGGTGCAGAGTTTCTTTGGTCATCCGAGTGTTACAATGATGATGTTCCTTACTGGCTTGACCTGCCGTGGGAAGACCAACTGCCTGAGAATGAGCGAGAGGGTATGCTCTTGATCCCATATAATGTAAGTCCAGCTGTTTCGATGAGTTCATACCCCAGAAGACAACTTATACTAATTCATGGGCTAGTATGACTGCAATGATGGCAAATTCCACATGTCTCCCGGATTCGGCTCTAGCGTGGGCGAGAGCTACGAGAAGTACCTTAAGAACACATTCGACATGCTCTACCGTGAAGGTGGCAAGATGATGAACATTCCCTTGCATACGCGTATCATTGGCAAACCCGGTCGATGCGAGGCGCTTCGCAACTTCATGAAATACGTCGCCGACAAGCCTGATGTTTGGGTGACAACTAGACGTGATATCGCCAAGCACTTCCGGTCTAAGTTCCCTTATCAACCACATGGGAAATGGGTCCACGATGCTCGAAGTCAATAGTAGGGGCATATACAGCATGTGAAACGGGTGTATATGAGTTGAAAGAAGACGATACAAAATATCGCTATACATAGCTTCAATATAACTGAATGTAGAGCACTATTGACGAATATCTAATTCTCAACCCGAAAAGGCCGATTGTGATCATATACGCTTTAATCTCATGAAAATAGTTTCTCATTAGGGTAGCTGCCATGCCTCCCAACTAGTGTCTGCCAAACTCCCGTAAGATGTTTCCGCTAGGGGAGTGTCGGGATCTACCCATGCGACGAGCTCATTAACCACCGCCATTGTATCGAACTCCATCCATCTGTCTTGTAGCACTTGCAGGGCTGGTGGCATAGACTCTCCTTGTGCTGGTACAGACCCTTCCATTCCTGGAAACTCGGCAACTACACTGCCATGACTTTGGGTTTCTTGAAGCGGCGCAACTCCCATATTCTGCATGGGAACGTCATCCATAATGTTTGCGATCTCTCTGGCATCGGTTTCCTGTTGGGTTTCTAGTCGCTCCATGGTCATGCTCACCAGCGCCTCAAATGCGTCGCGGTATCGCCGAACCCATGGAGTTCTTTCGCCCATAACAAACAGTACGCTTGAACACGCTCGAATATTGTTGCTCAGTCGTACACTCCAGACATTCTTATGCGTCCATAGGCAATATAGCATCATGATACCGGAGACAAAGACGGTTTGGACGGCGATAAAGCTATGCCCGTACGCCGCGTTCTGATGCAGTTTCTTGTGTAGTTGACAGATCTGACCTGCCGACTCTAAACAAGCCTTGAAATATGGATCAGAGCTTGGTAGGATAGAGAGGAAAGGCTGCATAAGGAGGCGAATAGCTCGGTGGTAGTGGAGAAGTAAATAGTCCGGGCGGTTGCCGTTGTCCAGAGACACAGACGCCAGTAAACTCTCCTTCCACTCCTGTAACTCTTGATAGTACCCTCTAACCTTTGGCAGGAGCTCTTGCAGGGTCCGGTCAATGCGATATAGAGAATGATGAATGCGAGACTCGATTCTCCTAAGTCGGAACAGATGAATTGCTTGCCGTAATTTGTGATCATCCTCTTGCATCACAGTGGGCATCTCAACATCAATCAATCGGTCAGGCAGACTAACAGGATAGCCAAGTGCGATAGAAATGTTGCGCTCAAGGGAATACACTGTCCAGAACAATTTCCGACGCTTTTGAATAACAGCGGGGGACAGGTCGGCTTCGCGCCGGGAAAGATACATACCCAAATGAATGCAGGTACGCATGGCAAATCCGATGAGATACCATAGCTCTTGGCTGATGGAGGAACGAAGGTGAAAGATGACTAGAAGAACCATAGCCTCGATGTTCTCTAGAGATCGGGGTTCTCGTGCCGCGGAGATATGCCGTATTGCCGTCGCATAGAAAGCCTAGTTTGATAGTTGGCTAATTATGCTTGCAAGGAGAAGGTACCCTACTATCACTGACCTCTGGTGTAGGTAAAGATGCGTGTTTTTCCGTCAAGGAAAGTAGACCCGACCCAACAGCATACACGAGGTACAGTTTAAATAATCCAAAATGCTGGCTGGCAGTCAGGGACTGCAGGCCAATATGGGAGAGACGTTCCCTATCTCGATGCCATTGCAGGATCTCGTCTAGATCCAGGAACGGATACCTCGAGTCAACTCTCTCTAAATATGTCTCGATCAGTCTTGCACCCAGCTCATCTGATGGTGGCCCAGTGCCATCCACGCCATGGGTCATAACATTTGTGAATGGGTAGCTTCCTGCGGCCGCAGAGCTTTCCCGATGCTCCTCGGACACGCCAGAGTCACCGGTTGGATTACGACCAGTGGTCGCCGAGCCTTGGGATACATCGCCGATATTGAGGGCAAGGTGGAGTGCAAATTGAGAGAATTCCATTCCTGAAGACGTGTCGGGAAGAGAGAGACAGAGCGAATTTGCTACATCCGCAATGCTCATCTTCCCTGGCGGGGCGCCTTCCCCCTGCGAAGTTTGGTGCTGCAGGAGTTGAATTTCGAGTTCGGCGACTTTGCTTTCAAGGGCATGAATGTATCTAATTTGTCATCAGATTATCTTTGGAACCAGAAAGTGGTGAATGCATGTACTTCGCGACGACCAAATCCTCGCCGCGGACATTTTGTAAGTCGCAAGTGGCCCTTGATTTGGTACAGTTGGAACAAACAGGCAGCTGACCATCGCACTATAAAACGAGCAATCAATACTTATGTTTTAGTATCAGGATTGTAGTGTGTTCCGCATACCTTCTGCTTTCGTGTCTTGCATCGCGAGCACGCTGTCCGCCCGATGCCACGTTTGCGGCTCTGGGGAAGCTGCCCCGCCACCCTGGGAGAGGCGAGTCCATCAGGAGGAATTACCCCAGAGAGTTCCATGCCTTACAAAAGCGTAGATGTTCAAAAGATTAGAAACGGAGGTCCTCGGAGGGTCCGAAGATAGAAGGCTGGAGGTCGGTGTGAACTCCGCTCCCAGGACTGTCCTGAGGTCCACTTACGCCTTATCTGGGAAGGTCAAAGCGCATGTTAATTTATCTCTCTGCTCGTTAATTCTTGGTCCTGGGGTGAAACCATTTCAATGCCAATTATCTTGGTGTAATTGGTTCTATTTCCCTAGTCTCTACCTTCATCCAAACAAATTAATTAGGCGCTTAGCCGAATTTAAACAATATTTCTTGCAGTAGGGTTAGATATATATACTTTGTCGGAGGTTCCGATAGTTGGATACATCTTATGAATCCCCAGCTACTAATTGGATTTATTTTTTAACTGTGACTAGCTATTGACCTCAACAGGCAAGGAAATTCCTTCTCTAATCAAGCAAAACTTTGTCGCAAAGAAGCAAAAATGGTAGACATCACTACCCCAGAGCCATACATGAAGCCCGCAACGCGGCTGCGAAAGCTACTCTCTCAACCAGGTGTCTGCATCCAAGCCCCGGGAGTATATGATGGTCTCTGCGCCCGGCTTGCTATAGAGCAAGGATTTCAAGTTATGGTATAGCTCGATGGCCGCTGAACTCTCTCTCCGAACGGTCAACTAACGTGACAATAGTACCAAGGTGGCTCTATGACCACTGCCGCGCGCCTTGGAAGAGCTGATCTCGCTTTTGCATCCCTCAACGATTTTGCGCAGAACGCGCAGATGATCGCTAACATTGACCCTCGCATCCCGCTTATCGCTGATGCAGATGTCGGGTTTGGGTCACCACCAAACATCGCCCGCATGGTACAGATGTATGATTCATGTGGAGTTGCGGGCTTTCACATTGAGGACCAAGTTTCAAATAAACGATGTGGTCACTTGAAAGGCAAGGAAGTTGTGGACATAGAGTAAGCCTTTTGCTTTGAGATACCAGCCCAGAGTTGGAAGCTATACTTGAGAACTGACTCAAAATGTTTGCTTTAAGGACCTGGAAGTCAAGGATCCGTGCATGTGTGATTGGACGGGACTCTATATACGGGGGTAGTGATATATTAATAATTGCGAGGACGGACTCGCTGGCAGTTGAAGGATACCAGGCGGCCCTTGATAGGGTATGGCTGATACAGGAAAAGCTTTTGACAGCAGAATAACTGACATTTTATAACAGCTTCTTGCAGCACGGGAGTGTGGCGCCGATATGGGGTTCTTGGAAGCAATTGAGACGGAAGAACAGATCAAGAATGCCGTGAAGGTTTTGGCACCAATGCCTGTAAGTGGAGAACCTTTTATCTTCGTACGAATTGTTACAATATATTGATATTATTTAGCTCATGGTTAATCTGGTCTCCAACGGCAAAACACCGTGGTTCTCGCCAGAAATATTGGGCGAATGGGGAGTCAAGGTCGGTTCTCAAAATATCATGTTCCTCGAGCTTCAGACTAATGTCAAACTAGCTCGCTATCTACCCAGGGGCTGCGGGAAAGTCGGTTCTTCACACAATCCGACGTGCATATAAGTATCTTATGGAGACTGGTCAAGACGATGCAGAAGCACAAGGCTTAGATCCGAAAGGGTTCTTTGACGTGATGGGATTACAAAGAGAGATGGAAATTGATCGGCTTGCAGGAGGTGTATCTTTCACAAATGGGGCATAAGAAAAAGCTAGAGCATGCAATTTGTATTTGTTAAACAGTAGACTACGCATATCTTGCACATGAGGGTCGTTTCCTTATATTTTGCTTGCTTAGTGTTGCCCGGAGAATCTAAGAAAATGCTGTTGTTATATCTCCCATGAAAAACTGTTGTTACAATAAAAGGGAGATTGAGGCGGTAGGATAATATTGCTTTCCGGAACAGTTTTACTGTCTCATGAGTATCAGTGTCTGTGAAATAGTTTGCTACACATCCAGCAGGACATAGATTAGCAAGAAAAGTCAAAAATATGGAAAATGAAGGGAATTATAGCAATATAGCAAAGTACAATTCACAGTCAGTTAGTTGAGTTATATACATGAGACCGGAAATTTCAACCATTCAACGATATCACCGATTTTCAAATAGCACCCACAAGCTTGGTCATCTCTTCTCGTGTCACGACGGGCTTGAAGCCCCTGGAAGGCATACCCATAGCCTCAGCCTGTCGCTTCTCATATCTGAGGAAGTCTTCGGTAATAGCACTACCCCGGACACCACCGCGGACTGCGCCTGCCCGGGAATCACCCCAGTACTCGGCCCACTGAGGGGGGAGAGGCTGGGAGCTCGGAATAGAGAGCCATAGACGCATAAGATGGCGCTTCTCATCTGGCAATTCATGGTCCTCAAACGGTGTGCGTGAATGCAGCGTTACAAAGCTGTTAAGAAGTTGCATATCACCGCGCTCTAGCTCCATGGTATAGCAATACTCATTAGATGGCATAATTGTGTCCAAGAAATCAAGTGCCTCCACTTGCTGGGCTGTAAGTCGAGGCACCTCGGGGAAGTCGCGCTGTGCGGCAACGGTGTTTTTGCGGTTGGTGCGAGCACAGAAGTAGGCGCCACTTTTCCCCATAAGTGGGCAGCGGTAGTACGGAGGCTGGGTGGAATCTTGGGCATTCTGGAAGCTGTGGAACCAGTTATTGGACTCGAGCACAGGAAGCAAATCAGGGCGGAGCTCAGCGACGCGATCGTGCAGCGCTATGCTGCTCATGACTTTGGAAGTTCCACCCTCCTTTGCGGTGCGACGACACAGAAGAGCCACCACGTCGGCGGAATCTTGGTGGAAGTCAAGTCCGGCGTTGGTGTTGTATCCACGACCCCCCTTGACCTTGTAGCTTCCTCCCGCATCGCGTACGTCGTTGATCACCTCGCTGGCGCGGTTTTGGGTGCGCCCAACACCGATATAAAGCCCCATGCCCCAGTAAGCGACACGCATGTCTGCCTCGGACCATTCGTCGACTGGGAACCCCTTCACGAGACACATGCCCCAGCGACCTTGGGTGGTAGCGATGGCATCCTGCAGCGCCCTCTTAGACACCTCGGAGAGTGGATAGTCGACTTGCGTCATATCAAGAAGAGGCTTGGGGTGATTCTTTGCGTAAACAAGTGCAGTGCGGAAACCTTCAATTTGCTCAGGAGTGAGACGCAGGATCCACGAGTCATCGCGCTCAACATCCTGCGTCTTCCATGCTTGGGGAGTAGTTCCAATTGACATGGTCAAAATTTAACAAAGTAAAGGATGGAAAAAGAAATCGAGGCTGGAATCAGCAATGCAAAATCCAGAATACCTAATAGATCTGCTAGATGCTTTTCTTCATCGAATCGTGATCTTTTCAATCATCAGTTGCGGTCTAAGGTGCCTTTATGGCCGACAAATGATATAGAACATTCCGAAGCTCAGCTCATACTCTCACTGCCCTTACGTTATTGCTATCGGGGTGGGGTTTTGGTATATTATCGGAGGCTCCGTCTCCAAATTCCATGGATCGCCCAGAGCGGAAGGTCATATAGAGTTTATCGGAGGGTCCGCGAGGTGGAGATTTCAAGGATCACCTACCAATCATCGCGGAGAGCTGTCATTCCCCGCGTTTTCGGTATCTTTCAAAGTTTCCAAGCTTCCCCAATTCTGATTGGATCTCGGGAATTAGCCTCGAGGCGTCCACGGGTTGTATCTTTGCCAATCTATATCGTTTTGTTTGTCAAAACCAAGATTGTCGGGCGTATGCCCATCCTTACACTTCAACACTTCCGGTACTTGTTCTTATCAGCAGGAGGAAAGCCCCATTAGAACCTGAACTTTTATTTTTGACATAAGTCTCGGCTGATCACCGCACCTCCCTACTCATTGAGAAATTTGACTCTGAAACTGTTATATGATGACCTGGAATACACGGACTAAGAAAGCCTTCAGCTCTCCAGCGGCTTTTCTCAAGGCCATCGAAACAAAAGAAGTTGACGGGGAGAAGGCCGCTTACAATGAGGATCTACTTCCAACTGAATCTGGCAAGTCTCTGTCTCTAGCAACTCTTACCAAGGGGACGATATGCTAACAATGTATCACAGAACGACGATCCTGGGGATGGATTCACTACTTCACATACTACCTAACAACATCTTTCTCGCCTACTAGCTATAACCTCGGGGCCTCTTTAGCCACAATTGGTCTGGTGAGTCAAGACGAATTGCCAGAAACCATATATTACCGTTCAACCGATCTGATAAAATCTTCAGACGTGGTGGCACACCCTCATTGCTGCAGTGATAGGCTCAGTTTTCCTATCAATAATTGTTGTTCTCAATTCGCGCGGTGCGACGCAATACCATGTTGGATTCCCTGTCATCGGCACTGCTGCTGGTGGTCCACGGGGTGCCAAGTTCTTCATTTTCATTCGCGGTGCGGTCGCCGTCATCTACTTCTCTACAAATCTCTATTATGGTGGAATGTTAATGGCGATCCTACTGCGATGTATATTTGGCTCGGCGTGGGACAACATACCTAATCTTCTTCCTATGAGCGCTGGCATTACCAGCGCAAATCTGCTGGCCTTCTTTATCTTCTGGATCTTCCAGATGGGTCTGATGTTTGTGCACCCTATTGTGTTGAGACATATCTTTGTCATCAAGGCATTCTACAGCACCATCGCTTTGGTGGCGGTTCTAGGCTGGGCTGTACACCAGAATCATGGATCGCTCGGTAGCTTCCACTTCGAGGGACAGGCTGTTCTTTCTGGCTTGCAACTTGTCTGGCCTATGATCTCGGCCATAAACTCAATTTGCGCTGCTTTGTGTCCCATTCTGATCAATCAACCTGATATCGCACGATATGCACAGAGACCGTCTCAAGCCACTTGGTCTCAAATTTTGGGGATCTTCATCAGCAAAATTATGATCATGTTTCTCAGTGCTGCAACTACCAGTGCTACGCAGGGATTTCTGGGTACATCCTACTGGAACGTGTGGGATCTTTACAATGCCATACTGACCACCTACTGGGGCCCGGGTGCGCGTGCTGGCGTTCTCTTTGCCTGCTTGGTATGTCGCCCCAGACACTCCTATTTGAGAGCCTTCTTACAGTTGCTAACTCCATGCAGGGAATGGTTCTTGCTATCCTTGCCTCCAACGCCGGCACCAATGCACTTCCCGCGGGCGCTGATATGACCGGTCTCCTACCACGGTACATCAACATTGTCCGTGGACAGATTATTTGCGGTATTCTGGGGCCTTTATTATTCCCCTGGAAGATTATTGCCGACGCAAAGAGCTTCCTGACTTTCCTGTCATCATACACCGTCTTCTTAATGCCTATATGCGGTATTATGGTTGTTGATTACTGGCTTGTTCGTCGGGGTAATTTGCATGTTCCGTCGTTGTATAGCCGGGATGCCGGTACTCCCTACACATATTGGAGGGGTTGGAACCTTCGTGCTATCGCGGCCTGGCTTTCTGGGACGGCATTCGTCATCCACGGTGTCGCTGGGGCCTTGGAACCTAGCCTGACAAACCAGGCCAGCAAAAACATGTACAAACTTGGATTCCTGTTGAGCTTCCTCATTGGCTCAATAGTTTACTATGCTGCCTGTCTAATCTTCCCGGTCCCGATATACCCCGAGGGAAAGGAGGGCACTCACACAACCTGGGAATATATGGCTGGCTCTGAGGGCTTCCTTGAAGGAGAAAGTGTTGATACCATCAGACTCAACCATGGTGCCATCATTGGAATCAAGGTCGATGGAGGTATCGAGAAAGACTATTCCCTTGCGTCGGAAAAAGAGATCGTTTAATCTCTCAACTATGTATTTAATTGTCTAATAATGCTGCCTGAAGTACTGGGGAGGTTGTGTACATGGGGCAGAATATACGAAATACACTATAATGTCAACCTTAGACAGCTAAAAGTTGTGAAAATGTTAACCATCTCCCACATTTGGCCGCCAAGAGTTGCCACTAATACGCGAGCAAGATAAACGACAAAAGTGAGGAAGGTGGTGAGGATCAAATGGAAGCGCGAAGTGTCTTCCATAATCTGTCCCTAGAACGTAGATATCTCGTTGCCAGGACGCCGCCTATATCAACCTGGGATAATAAAGTGGGAAGGTTGATGGAATAGTGGAGAAGGGACTATGCGGGTGACGGGTCTGGTTCCCAAAGATGTGAAGATCATTGCAACAAGCTAGATAAGTACGAGTATGAAGGTCATCATGGCCAATCTTCAAAATATTAGAAACGAATATGGATTTGTATGCTAAAGGAACCAGTCTATCCTTTTCAGGGTAACAGAGGAAGGAATCTCGCGATGCAATGAATGCAAAATATGCAACAAAGAAAAGAGCGACCCTCGACCAGCCACCGGTCATATGAAAGCCATTGGGTGGCGATAGATTGGATGTCGAAGTTATTAGTTGCACTCTATCATGTCATCCTGTATGGTTTCTGTGCCTCTTTTGTGATTTTGACAAATGGCGTAACCCAAAAGCTCAAGGAGGTAGCGTTCGCGGTTTATGAAGACACGGACAGCAATCGTCCGTAGGAATTTCTTTGCATGGTGCAGGATGAGAACTAGGTGGCTTGGTGGAATGCGGGAGAGGGCCTCGATGGAGAAGGTGATTTGATCGGGGGTTGTTTTCAGAGACGGGAATGCAGCAAGCAGATGACGGGTGCTTTTATCGCTGACAAGAGACTCGCAGTATGTGTCAAGCATATTTTCACGGACAATGAAACGAAGAATCGAGTCCAAGGAGTCAGGATGAACAATGGACTGCGGCAGGGAATGTTCAGGATCGGCAAGAGCTCGTTGCATCACACTCACGTATTGCAGGTCTTCCATGAGCGGTGTTACCTGAATATCTGTTGGTGATGTATGCCCAAGGAGTGGACGATCATAACCCAGCTTTTTCCGCCAGAAATAGTTGCATATGATTAGAGAGATAATACACGGAATGAGGAGAACGTAGCCCCACCAACGCTCTGCAGTGACCATAGAAGCAGCACCAGCAACAAGACCATTTAGTCCATTGACACCAGCATGCCATTGGAAGCGACGGAACCGTGTGTGCAGACGGCGACGGATATCATCACTAGGCTCGCGCGCAGAAACAGCAGCATCGTGCACATGGAATCGATACAGGAGATACCCAGACCAGATGGCATTGACAAGGCCGAAAATTGCAGCTAGGCCATTTCCGATATATCCAGAAAGCAGATTACTGGCTTTATAGACCTGTGGATTGGCACCACCAATGGCCATCAAAGTACCCACACCGACCAACAGCGAGCCAAATCCCATCAAAGCGTCCATCAAGATCCGGTCAATCACTTCGGTGCCAATTTCACGAACCCCGACCCCAAGCCGGCTGTCAATGAGCCGAGTCAGTTCCTCGTTTTTCTCTTGCTGTTGCCTCAGACGCTGTAGGTGATTCCGCTCCGCTCGCAGCAGCCTGACGTTTATCCAACTCAGTCGGAAATCATGAATAGCAACCAACACCATTCCCAAGGCCAGTGTACCCCCAATTCCCATTAGCACAGCTGCAAACCTCGGAACGGGGATTTGGTTCCAGACGTTGGCGGCGAAGTCACCGGCGTTAGCTAGCTCGAGGTATCCGACACTGGCGAGCAAGCTGTTTTTGAACTGCTGCTGGCGCAATAGGCGGTATTGACTGCCTCGCCGGACCAGCACAACCTCGCCTTTCTTCGATTCCAGAGACTCCAGCCATGTGATGTCACTAGCTTCACGGAGCAGTTTGGGGACCACGACGGGTGGTGGGGATTCGATCGGTGATTCTAAGTCTATCTCCATGGCCATAGCTGTTGGAGCATGGGTCAAATATGTGCTGTAGATGGGATCTGGATAAGTTATTAGACAGTCAGATGAGTCGGTAGCGGTCACCATTGTGAAAGTCGTAGGTTGGGCGACCAGGTGATCGTAGGGGGAAGTTCACACGGCGATGTCCATGCCGATAATCTTACAGACAGGTTCAGAGGGTTTAGTGAAGATTAAATTGTGAGGAGATGGAGGAATGGTAAGAGTTGAAGAGTCAAAGAGACAAAGAGGAGAAAAGCAAGACAGGGAATCCCCTGCCCTGCAAACGGGTGGATACACCCGCCTTGGCGTAGCCCTATAGGGCTGAGAATATGCTTTCACAGGGGATACGTGTATAACATTGTACTTAGAAGCTATATGTACTTAATTTCCTCGATACAGGTTTCTAACTCCAGCTACTACTTTTATGACAGAGCTCAAATGCTCAAATTCAGGCTCATACTGAGATTCTGTGAGGATCGCGTGGTTTCTGTTGGAGCCTGCGGCGTGTAGCTGTTACATAATCACATCGAGTGAGGAAAGCCATTTACTGGAGCGTTGCCTAGCCCAGATCAGATGGAGTTAGCCAGCTCTGGAGATTTAAAGAATTTGACTTGGCCATTTCCTTTTTAGCTGTTGACATTTGACCTTTGTCTTATATTTAAATTATCTCTCGGTTTTCATCTCATCTTCCCGTCTCTTTTTGTTCGCCTTTGTGTCGGATCTAGGATGTATTTGGGGCGGCGAGACATCCTACTACGGATTCCCAACCATGTGGAGATAACCATCAAGTCAAACCATGATACGCAGAATATTATGTCTCTGACCTTCTCATCTTTGTTCAGTCACCGGAACTGCTCAAGAAGCTGCCAAGTTTCACGGAAAATATCATACCTGACCACGGTCAAGAGGTTCGGACGTTAACCTCCCAGTAGACCTCCGCAAAGCCCATAGCGCAACCAGCAGTGGGCTGTGGGCCGGCGTCCGAAGCCTAGCCCAGCCCACTGAGCTTTAGTGGAGGCCTTATGGGCTCCTAGGTATTAAAGCGGGCCTATCTCGACGCTGACAAATCGGCCACTGTAATTGCTGTATTACGACCTTCCACTGATCGTATGACGGTCGAACTTGTAATATCAAATCATAGTAGCTTCATAAGTATACATTCTCACTTTAAACAAAATCTGATCGGCGGAAGTCGAGATACTGCGGAGACTGATGTTTTGATATGTGATATATATTTCGATTGTGTGTAGGACTACTGCTTTGTAAGTAAACCTTTATTTTTTTAAAACCATCCAAATCAACGCGTTTTTTGCGTTTCTAAACGTGACATTGAACTATCAGTAGTAACTGATTCTAAACCATTTGAATTAATAGAATATTACCGTAGGTATGATAGCGAGAAACGGGGCTAAACATAGGGTAATTAAAAAAACTTAAAAAAGGGGTTCAACTTTAATTTGTTATGTGTCTCGATTTCTTGGTATATTTACATTGTTTGGTGCCTATTGGACCAAATGGGCCCCATTGAAAGCCCAGCGGGCCCGAAGATAGGGCCCAAACACCGTCTTGGGTTGGGCTGGGATGTAGGTTTTAAGGACTTTGCGAGTTTACCTTCCAGTATGCTATTACAATATGTAGATTATTGGTGCGTGATCCAGGTTTGCAGAATGATGTACAGGAAAATATATTAAAGCTATACCTAATAATATAAAACAAGATGCTAATCCACCTAATGAAAAATAAGTTAAACCAGCAGATGTAGCTGATTCAGAATTTCTATACATAGTACATAATAAATATAAACCATAGTTAACTTTGTAATTCTATAAATAAGAATATAGATACAAAATCACTACTAGATATTAATAATACACAACCTATTACAATAAATAATAACATTAATGTATATTTTAATATTGTATATTGTTCTCCTTTTTAAAAATTATATTAGATACAGGAATATTTTTAACAAACTGACCTTTTTTTGAAATGGCTAGATTCGTTTCAACACGCTGGTTGCAAAAATTGACTGGATTCTCTCTCTGTAGAAAAACTAGATACAGAGTACGCTTCACAGTCCGAGGCCGTGCACTACAAGCTCGTTGCAATCCCTTAAAACCTTCATAACTCCGCTCTCATCGTGCCATGCATCATTGTACGCAGCGCTGAGACACAAGCGCCCACGGAAAGTTCCCAAGAAGAGACCAAGCCCCGTGCCCAATTCTTCCCCGGTCACCCATGGACTCTCAAGATTGAATGCGCCATGCTTCGAGGATAGTATCTTATCCACGACACCCAAGCTAGATATAGATATCGAGGGCTCCTCGTTGGGAGCTGGAACAGGGGGCATTGTTGCCCCGGTTGGATAATCAGGGGTAGCGTGAGCCCAGTAAGACGGAGCTAGCACGATATGTTCTTTGTCATTCCTGATTGTGAGGTAGTATTTTTTGACCTGCTCAAGGATGTCGATGAACTCGTTCTTTCTAACTGCGCTCGTAATCGGTGTTTGTTCTCCGGTCGATGAGGGTACATCCAAATCAATCGCGAGACTGAGTCCTGAAACAGAGTGGTATACGGATGCCGCATGATGGGGTGAATTAAAAGGCTCCTGACAGAGTGGGCGCTCGTTGATTAGGGAGTAGCTGATGTAGCGAACCTTTCGTTCATCGCGACGCCGCTCCTGAAGGTCCCTCAGCACAAGAGCAATGGCAGCGTGATAGACATGTGTCACGCTAGCGCCGCTGTTCTTAGCGGCTTTCAAGATTTGGCTGGATTCCTCAAGGTTCAAAGTGAGTTCAACTCGCTGATGGCGTTCGGGAATCACTGATCCACGTTTGAAAGGCACTGTCGCAATTTCAACACCCTGACGCAGCGAAGAGTTTCTTTTGTAGATTTCCTCAAGTCGAATTTGCTGCTGGGGTTCCAGAGAATTGGGGATAGAAGCTGCCACTCTCATCGGAGGGCTCAAGTTCTTCCACTCACAACAGAATTCGACTGATGCGGCAGCAGGGTTTTCAAGGAACAGCGACGCATATTTGAATAGATTATTGAGCAGGTGTAGGGAACCAATCCCATCAATAATGTCGTGCTGCGATCGAAGCACGATATCGGCTTCGTAATTATCGTTCGAAACAGGTCGGGTGAGGAGAAACAGTGTCGGCAACTTAGGGACGGGAGGATCGGAATTACACCACTCTTTCCCTGTTTGGCCGTTCGTGACAATTTTGAATGTATCATCTACCCAGGTTTGACGGTGCAAGTTGTCACCATGGGGAAGGGCGTTATATACTTTCTTGCATCGGTTGCTTTTTGTGTCATATTCTACCCACGAGGCAATGGTCGGGTGATCATAACGAAGTTGCAACCATGCGCTTCTGAGCGCAGTCACGACTTGATCAAAGGAGTTTCTCCCTTCCAAAGGGACGGAGAAAGAAACATGAGCGGTCATGGCAAAGAAAGTTCTGCCAGTTCCACCAAACTTTCTGGCAAGTGTGGTATAGAATTGCTCTGCTTCATCTATATTGCGTTCCCATCGTCCCTCTTCGGTTTCCTTCCAAGCAAGGTCATTGTGAACGGCCATTATGAAATATCAAAGATGTTGCGTGCTGTGTCTCCGTTTCAGAGTGAAGAGCACTGTCGAGTGACCGAAAAGTGAAGTTTAGAATTATGGGAGGCGGAGGGAATATTTAAGTTATCCACGAATGGCCGATGATAACCTTTGATTCCGAAGTTTAGCCGGTCAATGTAATAAATGATAGTCAGATTTGAAGCCAGACTGCTTTTTTGAGTCTCGTTAGGAATAAACTCCTGGCCTTGTTCGGCATAGCTGGGTGGATCCCCCTATGGGGCCACGAGATACAAGTCCTCCCACTTCGTCAAGGGATATCATCCGCTTCAAGTATGCACCTGGTGATAGTATCTTCTGCTGTCAATTGTAATTTACGGGCTTATTGACGGTGCATACATAGTACTATGTAGCTAGTCTTTCTATATACACGGGAATCGGGAGTATTATAAATCCTACTATATTCCGATAAATATCCGATGAGCTTAAAAGCATGTTTCAAATAGTACCTACCCGCTTCCTACCCGCTTAGAGGTATAATTTGTTAATCCGCTTGGACACTCAACTCTTGTACACCTATACAACTTGATATAGACATAGCAATTCCTGTTATTTCTATGCTTCACCTATGTACGCCAAGTTCCCGCTAGGAAACGCAGTATGGGGTATATCCGGGGTCCACAAGTGCTGGCCGAGATGCCTAATCCGGTAACTAAGCCCCACTTAAGATAAGGCTCATGAAGTTACTAGAATAGGATCTTGAAATTGAGAGACTTGTTACTACTTTTTGTGCTTTCATATTGCTTAATTTATCTTAATATATTCAAATTTAGCACCCGAGTTTCGGCATTTCGGGCATCATTCCCGAGGTCTTGCCCACTATGTAGTTAAGGTGAGGGAGATCGAGCCAGCGATCGGACCAAGGACAAAGATTGAACCTGTTTTTATTTACCCAGTCAATTTGTATATTCATTAGTCACAGGTGCATTGCTTTGACGTACCGATAGTAGAACAGCGAACTTCAGGCCTCTTTTGAAACCTTGGTCTCATTCCCTGCTGTGGATGTGCTTAATGCAAGAATTAGCTTCACGCCTATATCTGCCATGTCCCCCGAATGCACGCTCCAAAACTGGGCTTCACGGTCAGACCCACGAAGCATATCATTCCCCGGTTCCTCTTTGGACACAGATGGAGTATCGTTGTTCGACGGGTCCTTTTCATTCGAGCTATACACATTAACTCGCTCGTTGAAACGCACCCGGTGACGGGTCCGACCGTTCGGCGAGCCCTGGGAACCGGAACTGGGGGATGAGTTTCTCGCCAGACTGGCGGCAAGATAATTCTTGCGTACTGCATAGCGACTAGCTTCTTCCCTTCGGGTCGTACCCGAAAAGATCTTCTCGAGGGCTGTAGAGGCAGTGAATCGCATCCCCAGGTAGACCTGCTCGGCAACGAACAACGTTAACAGAAGCGAGGAGAGTTGTACCTCAGAAATAGGACCCTGGTAGATATGCACAATGGCTGCTGTGGATAGAGTTCCCATCCAAGCCAACAAATCCAGCCCCAGTAGACATGGGCCGATCGAGTCCGACCGGATTGGTGGTGGTCGTTGACACTCCAGCGTGAGCTTGAAGAAGTCCCCTCGCAGTTCCAGCCAATTATTTAGCAGGAACCCAAGCGGCACCAGTGGCCAGGCAACTCCGAATAGTGCAAGATAGCCAAATTGTACACACATCTCCATAATATCCTCCTCCACGTGGTATTCCTCTGCGCCGGCCTCGCTACGCAGTCTTGTCATAAATGCAGCTTCGTCTGGCGGGTCAATTAAGAACAGGTCAGTCGCTGTGGAATACTTCCGCTTGTGACTGTCTTTCGCCTTGCGATCCCGATAGTTTTGCCATTTCTGTCTCAAGACATGCTTCACATATGGTAGGACAACCTCCTCACAGAAGCTAAAGACCTGAGCTGTCATGGAGAGATATATCACCTCCTGCTGGAATCGGCTTGTATCGACCTCGAATTCCTTCTGTCGGGTGACCAAGTCGGCCCTGAACCCCGTTCTTCGGAGAACGTCGAGTTTGGGAACGATTTCTTTGCCGAAGGGAACATAGACATAGGCAGTCAAGATCGTGGGGAGGAAAGAGGTGATGAAATTCATGACAAAACTCTTTTGAGTCTGAGCGAGATCGTACTGATCTTGCGTTCGGTAGTTCTCGTACTCAGTCAAGCGGGTTGCGATGTTCGTGAGAAACGAGGTTATGGCAGGCAAGGATAGCGAAAACAGGACAGTCGGTACGAATTCAAGATACCCCTTGAATGGACCGTCATACACCTCGGATATGAATACCTCTGATGCGAACGACGCAATAATCAAAGCTCCGAGGGCCACGCTTGCAACAGAAGCAAAAGGAACCAGAAGCAGCTGGCGTGTAAACTGCTTCCAACCTGGGAAGACCTGTTTCACCTGTCCACTGATTGGGTCCTTGACCTCTTTCTCCCAAACATACTGTTTGCGATTCACCTTGAGTCGTCCCACGCCTTTGACATCCCATCTCTGACTTAAATCGGCCTCTCGAATCTTCCAGTACTCGACAAACACAATGCACCAGGCGCAAAGCATGGTTCCATATACAATGGAATATGGGCCAAGATATAGCCATCCGAGAATTCCCAATGCTGCAGGCACCACAAGGAATAGCGAATAGCAATGAATAAAAGCGTAGTAGAAAGCGACCTGCGCGGGGTTAGCTAGTTGTCACAATATCATAACATAGCCGACTCAAGGCTGACTTGCGCTAGAACAATACCTTTTCGCCAAATAAGGCTCGAATTGCATCTAAATCGCTAGTCGTCAACACGGTTTTCCGATTCCATTGGCGTAGCATTTCCGCACAGGCGTCCTGGTCATGTAACGGAAACGAGGCAGTAACGTTCTCCCATTTTCCAACACCTGGTGTGATGCCTGCACCTCCTATTTCCTTTGCCCAGGTGACGGCGTGGTATACCGAGCGGATCTCTTCGGATGGTGTATCAGCGTCGGCGATGGCTGTTTCGTCGCCATCCGGTAAGGTATGGGTAATCCCAAACAACCAATCTTTGATTCTGCGATGCGTTAGTTGGTAGTCTGAAAGTAAAAGCGTCAAACATTCAAGACCACTTGGATGGCACTCACCTTGACTGGTGTACTAAATTCCCTAGATGATCCCGGGGAACCCGAATGCAAACTAATAGCGCTTGACCGTGGCCGTGACGAACCTGAACCCGAAGACCAGCCTCAGTCAGGTCGTCAATAAGCGTTCGAAACTCTGTAATAACTTGAGCTTGATCTAACGATTGTCAGCATAGGCAGGAGGTCAAGGATATCCCATGCAAGCACGTCATTTACCAATGTCTCCAAAGTCATATTGTAGTACCCAGTCCACGCCCAGGTTGTCGTTATCATCTTCATCAGTATCCCCATACCCCGCGAGCCAAGACATGTTGGGAAGGGACCTGTTGAGAAGAACAGGAGAGTAACAAGTGAGGATTAAGTTGGATAAAGGTTCAGGTTACATTTGCAGAAGTTGGGAAAATGTGGAGGATTGTCAATATTACACTCAAGGTTCAACATTCCAAGGTTGTTCCATTTCCTTCTATTCTTGTTCCAGGGGATAAATACAAGGCGGTAGGAGATATTCTTCATTACCGCTGATCACATCTCTTCCTACGATACCCAAAATTACGTGACAGAGTTGTATTCCCGATCATCCGATCTTTGCTAAACTTGGAGTAACGCGAGCCCCGCAAGCCAAGCTTCAGCCCTATGAAGTTTTCTTACATTTATCCAATCATACGCAGGTTTCCAATCATCCTTACTTGAGAGGATTTTGATGTGCAATAGTTGTAATACTCAACAAAACACCTGAATTGTTTCAGACCCGAAATTTTCCAAGATTGTTCCTGATCATTACAAAGGGCTTGATCCACGGGCGCATCTAGTTGACCTAGGGCTGAATCCAGGACAAGCATCAGCATTTGACCTTCGGGAAAATTGAGTGAAAACGCTATACAATGGAGCAATCCACAATTGGGATATCTCGCTGCCTTGACAGGAGAAGGATTCTACGCAATTTCAGGGCAAAACCGTTGAGCAAAATGTTGCTGCCTACAATTTTACGCCAAGCCTCCGTAGGGCAAAACGATTAAATCCGTTGATTTTCAAATTCAAGGGAACCCACATTTTATTGGAGATCTGCTATGTCTGAATAATATTGGCGCCAAGTGTGGAGATTGGAAAACTTGGATCCATCACGGCTAATGGCACAGGCATCAACATTCACACAGACTACGGAGTATGTTCTACAGCTTTTGCTAAAAACGGGGTGCTATTAGCCACAATGTTGGGGATGGCAGTGCACATACATCCGGCGCTTCCATATAGCTATAAGTATATGGAGTAACATGCGCGACCGGAACACAATGAGATCATTCCCAACTCGATCATATTATTCTCCTTTCCTAGTCAATTTGAATTGAACACGTCATTCGTGTCCCTAGGGACTTGGCTACCATATGTCCTCAGTCGTCGAGATCATGGCCCGTCGAGTTCTTCGTGGGCAAAATATCACCCTCGGATTGAGCGTTTTCCTCTTTATTTTCATGTTTTTGCCTACCTTTATTATTCTCCTAGCGGTCATCGTATTCTTTGGGCTGGTGTATCCGCGATTGCGAAAGTCGTACGGCTTTGACCGTGGACAAGCGATGGAGACTCGGCAGTCGGAGAAAAGATTAAATGATGATCGAGCATGGTAGGGCGATATACAATGTGGTTGATTATGTTTAATCACTAACGTACGTTAAGATGCCACTACCAAATTCACGAAAATCTACTGACGCTTCTTTTTTTGTCCCGGATGACGATGTGCCGAGGCCAGCCAAGCAATGTATTTCATGGGAGTTTTGGGTTGTATATTAATGGGGGTAAAAGAATTCTGAGCTTTTGATGACATGGGCTTTCAAGAACAATGCTATCTACTTACAATGGAGGTAACTATAAATATTACAACGTATCAAGCGCTAGATAATTAAAAAATCCTTCTAGAACTTATCACGTAAAAACAAGTTCGGGACTGTTCCGGTGTCAAACCTTGGTCCCCTCCTAAAATGATTGGATGTCATTTTACTCCCCGTAGTTCCACTGACACATGCACATAAATCTAACGCCCAGGTACTCTTTCCAAAAAGGTTCTTTTTTTTCCCCTGGTCATCTCTCCACCTATGAACACCCTCGATAGAAATCACCTAGAAATCGCAAATCCATCTCCTCGAGCGTCCAGTTCGAGGAAATATAATGGGCTGAACAGATTCATCATCCATGGAAGTTCGGTCAGCCAGAATCCGGAGCAGCACTCGCTAAACAGAACGCCCCGATCCAATCAAAATCTGATGGCATCGGATCAACCCGCCTCTATTCTGCTACACAACAAGGAAGATGGACACTAAACAACTAAAGAAGCCGGCGATTGACCAGCCGCGGTTCAATCGGTTTAGCTTCTTTTCGTCCAAAACACGACAGGCAATCGGCTCATCTACCTGGGATGGTCTTTTCCCAAGCGGAAATTTGGACCAGATCTTCCAGGCGAAGCACAAAGGTCGCCCAGATCCAAACGAGCCAATCTGGTGGATTGACATATGTGACGCCACTGAAGATGATGTCGACACCGTCTCGGAAGCCTTGTCCATCCATCCTCTGACGGCAGAGGATATTGCTATTCGAGAGCCCCGAGAGAAAGTTGACGTCTACAAGAACTACTACCTGATCTCATTCCAGACACTTGTGGAAAACAAGACCAAAGAGGAACGGCCCGGGATTCCCACCTCGGCTGCATTATACATTCTTGTCTTTCAATATGGCGTGGTCACATTCTCACCTAGTGGTTGTGGACATGTGGCTCGGGCGCGAGAGCGTATTTGCAAAATGCATGATCCCACCGTATTGACTAGTGACTGGGTCTGCTATGCAATGATGTATGTTCAACCAAATTCCTGTTTATTAACATTCTTTCAATGAATATATGCCAACCAATCTATAGAGACGACATCATCGATAGTTTCGAGCCATTTGTCCGGGAAGCGGAACGTGAGTCCGAGGCAATTGAGGATCAAGTGTTCATCAGTCGCATCGACGACGCTCAAGCTCTCATTCCGCAGGTCGATGTTCTCCGCAAGAAGATCACTCACATAATTCGATGCCTCAACGGCAAGGTCGACGTGTTGAATGGATTCGTGAAGCGCTGCCAATCCCCCGATAAGCACCCTGTTTTCCCTGATGGTGACCTGCTTCTATATCTCGGCGACGTCCAGGACCATCTGGTCACAACGTTGTCGACACTGGGGCACATCGACGAGATTATTGGTCGGTCCCAGGCGAATTATCTAGCACAGATGAGCGCTACAAATCTCCGACTGAGTTTGACTATTAACTCTGGTTTGAGTAAGGTTACTCTCCTCGCTACCATATTCGTGCCGTGTCACCTTGTTACGGGGTTGTGGGGAATGAACGTCCCTGTCCCAGGCGGGGATTCTGAGGGGTTAGCGTGGTTTTTTGGTATACTCGGTTCTTTTGTGGCATTTATGGTTATCTGTATTGCTGTTGCTGTGAAGTATAGGCTCTTGTAGATGTCGAAGCTGATGGATGTATTTAGCTCAACCTAGATTCATGTTAGAGATAATTTATCACATACTTCCACATTAACACATCCAAAATGCTATGCCGCATGTGCCCAAATCATAAAGAATGGCTATTTATAGAACTTTTTCGGCGTTGCAAAGGTTTCATGGCCAAATATTGATGCTGATCCGAATACCGATATCGCTGGTAGCAACGGTATTGAATATTTCTCAGCACAGAGAAGTCTGATGAAACCCCGCAACATATATGCAAAAGCAGCTAGGTGTTATTGGTTAGTTTGGGCTCTGGTCTTATTGGCATCTTGCATATCCTGTGTTCATTCGTGCAAGATGTGCGATGTGCCAATATGAGAACACGTGACGCTATAGCTCCTTTTTAGTCTACCGATCTCAATTTGGCCTGTTCGGTGCATGACATACTTGCCCGTCTGGAAATTAGGTGTTTGGGCTGGCACTGCTGTTTGACCCTCGACTACCCCCAAGTAGCAATGAAGCCGCCATAGTTGTCTTCTTGATATCTTTACCTTGATATAGGAGGATGGGTGCTTCAAGACCTCATTTCCTTGTGTTCCCAACGTTTCAGGTTAAGACACTAAGAGTGACCTCATTAAAATTCCATGGGTACGTGCAGGGCTAGTAAATCCGCAATGTGGCCTGGAGGTCGCCTAAGGGTAAGAGCCAAGGATGATAGATTGTGGCAACAGCCACAAACACAGCCACATGTGTATGTGGGACTGAAACTCCACGATCAAAATGCCGAGAGGCGCAATAAGACCGACATCCATGTACGGAATATCCATTCATAGAGTACATCTGTATTCCATATGACGGACATGAATGAAGCCGTTCCGGAAATATATCACAGTCAAGCAAGCGCGCACATATACGTATATCGTATATCGATCCAGTACTCTTGTAGAATGCCCAACAAGAATAAGCGAAACCAAGGCCTCTTGCCAATAAAAATCACAACCAAACATGGTAGCCTAGTGGGAGATTGTGATGCTGGTTGACCAATAGTATCGATCGACTAGGAAATGGACCCTGACTTCCCGCCTCTTATTCTTGGCATCCTTATAGGGACTTTCGTGGGGAACGCGTCATTCGTTAGATTGGAAAGGTCCAATTTATGGAGTACGAAGAAGCCCCTGGCATTTCAAATTTGACGCGATGCTAGGGATGTATTTGTGGTGAAAGAAAAATGATTGAGAATGTATTAAATGTTCATAGGTCAAAAATTTCCAAAAAAAAAAAAATTTCCAAAAAAAAAAAAAACATTCTTTGGGGGTGACGATCCACCTCTCTCTCCAGGGCTGAGACGAAAAGAGATGGAAAAAGAAGTGTGGCGTTAAGAATATCATCATGCCAAGCCACCAAGATCTTAAATAAGTCTGGCCCCGTTCCAAGTTCCCCCTTAAGAGACTGCAGAACTTGCATGTCAACTGTCGACTTCACTTTTTTGTTTCTATCATCTACTGTCTTATCATCAAAGGCTTGTTGCCTTCTTTCATCTGTCTTTTCTCGCTGAAATACATGCGTAAGTGGTAACAAGGGGTCAAAGCTTATAGCTAAGCTATAGCTAAGCCATAGCTATCCCGAGAACTTTAACTTCTTATATATCTTGCTAACAATGTTCCCTTTTGCAGACCGGATTAACTCGTGGGCGAAAGCTCACGCGTCTTCTAGCGGCCTGCCAGATCAGACTCCCTCTCAACAGGCCGCCGATCCTGTTAATACCGACACTCCTCAACATGGAGAAGTGAAAATACCAGTGGAGGACCATACTCCAGGGTCTACCATGGAAACAAACCAAAAGCCAGGACTTCTGATCCGTATGCGAAACGGCTCCGGCCGTTTCTACCACCATACCAAAGATGCAGTTTGTCACAGCTGGGTTAATGTCCTGCTGGTCTTTGTACCGGTCGGCATCGCCTGCGAAGCTGCAGGTCTGGACCCAGCCATCATCTTCGCGATGAATGCAGTCGCCATCATCCCCCTGGCTGGACTACTCAGTCATGCCACAGAGAGCGTCGCCAGTCGTCTTGGTGACACCATCGGAGCCTTGATCAACGTCACTTTTGGAAATGCAGTCGAATTGATCATCTTCATCATCGCTCTAGTTAAGGACGAGATTCGCATCGTGCAAGCTTCTCTTCTCGGCTCTATTCTTGCCAATCTGTTGCTTATTATGGGCATGGCATTCCTGTCTGGTGGCCTTCGCTTCCGAGAACAGATTTACAACAGTACCGTTACTCAGATGAGTGCTTGTCTGCTCAGTTTGAGTGTGATGAGTCTCCTCTTGCCAACTGCTTTCCACGCCTCTTTTTCGAATAGTGCTGAGGCCGATCACGAGACGCTCAAGGTCAGTCGCGGTACCAGTGTCGTTCTTCTATTGGTGTATATTCTTTACATCATCTTTCAACTGAGAACGCACTCGTATCTCTATGCTAGTACCCCCCAGGCTATAATCGACGAGGAATCCAAGCCTGGTATCTTGGCAGACTTCATGAACAGCTCTTCGGACTCCTCATCTAGCTCCAGTGATGATTCGGATGACACTACGACTTCTTGGACCACTGCCAAAAGAATCAAAAGAGCAATGAAGTACCGCAGACACCGAAAGTCAAGTACAAGCTCAAAAGGAACAACCTCTCGTAATTCCATCCAAAAAAAGCCTATTACATCGAGCTCCAATGAAAACCAGACTTCCGTTGACAGCAATGAACACGCGATTGAGTTCGGTGACGAAATTCGGTACGATGCCGACGACGATGTTCATTCCTCTTCCGCAGTCCACTCTCGTGACTTTGGTTTGGCTCTGAGCCGTATGGACAGCAAAGCGAGTAAGAAGTCAAAGAAACGCGATCGCAAGATGCGCAAGGCCCGAAAGGCAGAGAAAAAGGCTCAGATCGTGGCACCCGAGGACAGCGGTCCTTCTCCATCCGATCCTAACGTCGCTGTACTTGAAAGCGTAGAAGATGATCCTAGGAAACGCCGTTCTCCTTTCGGACCTATACCGTCTCTGCTTTCCAACACTGTTTTCAGCTCCCAGTCACCAGGTTCGCCTCCTATTGGAAACAATGCCTCGCGCCCAGGAATTTCTCGCAGCAATTCGCTCCCTGCACATATCAGTCGTCCTCCGCCGGCCGGAAACGCAGTGCAGTTCGCCCGTGGTGCTTCTCGTCTAACTGACCAGAATAATGCCGTGGTTCCAGAGACAGATTTTCAAGCCCCGGAACCCACAATGTCACGTACCGCTGCTGTTGTCATGCTCCTGCTGTCCACCGCTTTGGTGGCTGTTTGCGCCGAATTTTTAGTGGATGCTATTCCCGAAATGATCAAAAAGTCAAAAGTCAAGGAGGCATTCATTGGTCTCATTATCCTGCCCATCGTCGGCAACGCAGCTGAGCACGTTACTGCCGTCAGTGTCGCCACTAAGAACAAGATGGACCTATCGATTGGTGTGTCCGTTGGTAGTAGTATCCAAATTGGTAAGATTTTCCATCCATTTCTGACGACTGTCTGCATGTGCACATTCTGACCATTCCAATAGCGATTTTCGTCACACCACTGGTCGTCATCCTGGGCTGGTGTATGGACAAGGACATGTCCCTGTACTTTACGCTCTTTGAGACTATTTGTCTTTTCGTGACCACCTTTGTTGTCAACTTCCTCGTCCTGGACGGCCGAAGCAACTATCTAGAGGGTGTCCTCTTAATTGCAGCCTATATCATCATTGCGTGAGTTCATCACTGTTTATTATGTCCTTTCAATACGCTAACCCTTTCCTTAGCCTATCTGCGTTCTTCTATCCGGATAGTAAAACGTCCAGTGTTATCGCCGGCCCTAAACCTGAGATGATATGATGTTGAGCGTGGACTTTCAACTGTCAAAAGGAATGTGCGCCGGTTGGTCTTCTGTGATTGCTAGCTAAAGCGCCGCTCATAGCCACGACTATAATACGAAGATTTCGTACCTGATGATCAATTATTATTACCCTGATTATTAGGCAAATTTGTAATAGTACATGTATTGTGAGAAGGGACTATAGAGTCGATGTCTTCTCCAAAAATCCTTCCAGCGCGGAGGAGCGGTGGCTAGTATATCTAGAAACCTCCTGCAGAGTACTCCCTACAGAGTACTCCGTACGCAGTAGTACGCATTTATCTCTTCTGGCAACGCTCATTGAACGAAACACCGGGGAATTCCCCATGTGGCCGATCGTCGTAGTCCAGTCTCCGGATGGCCCCGCGCAGGCTGGGCCCAGCCCTGGAGGCCGCTACACAGTATTATTTCAGCGAGTCCGAGGTCGGATGCTGGCGTGTACATCGTATGTATTGGAAACAGCACTAGCGAAAGACATCATTTCTAGAGATAGGAAAACCGACGCATCAATATGGCAAGTTCTACTAGTCCAAATAGAATATAACAATGACTCAAAGTGAAAGAGAATCCATCGTTACTCCTTGACAGATCCTTCTAGTCGCCTGGTTGCCTCAGGAACGGAATGTGTTCGAGTAAAGAGATCAACATTACTGTACTCCGTATGGAGTATAGGGTCACACGAGCTTCATACTATACATGGTAGATAGCGGTCTTGATCCCGACCCTACTTGCATTAGCCACATACTTTTTTGACAGTTCAATATCTATGAAACCAATTGTGACTGGTTTTGTCGGAGCACACCTCTCCTCGTGAAACTACTTTGTACTAAATATGCCAAGCCCCAACACCCACTAGCCACGTGTGTGACAGTCAGTGGCTGTGTTTTCCACAACTCGGTTACCTGAGCCACATCGTGGCTCGGCGGTACCATGATAGGCGGATTTTATCCCGCAGCCCCCTATAGGGGAGAACTCTCCACTGCACGTAATTATATCCCCCTTTGTTTTTATTTATACATCCTTGCCAGTAAGGCCCCTTTTGTACCAATTGTGAGACCGAACTGTGGAAACAAATAGTCAAGCTCCTGGGTGGAGAAAAAAAAAGTTGCTGGCTATGTTATATATACAACCTCTACTCCGTACTATGGTATATGGCTTGTGACACACTCACATTGAACAGGGGCACTTGGCATGCCACAATCGAATTGGTCAATTTGTGAACTAGCCCTGCAAGGCGATAGGTTTTGGCTGGCTCGCCCTGCAAGGCGATGTGATTGTTAGTCTGACCACCCTACCCCTCCAGGGGCTCGTGGAGCATTGAATATTGCATCTGCCTAATCGGAGCGCGAACTTGGGCGCTAACATGTAACTCCTTAGAAGTGGGGGCATAATTATAGTGTTGGACAGATATTGTGTGGAGTTAGGTCTTTCGGTTCTGGTCGGAAGATGATGGTTGACAACGGTGTTCTTTACGCTTCTTTCCCATAAAAGCCCTCATCTTCCCCCGTCTTTCTCATTCCCCAATTCATTCTATCTTCCCTCTTTCACCTCTCCATACACTCATCATGTCCTACGCTCCACCTTACGGCGATCCTTACGCTCGCCCTCCCCCAGACCGTCCACCATACGACCCCTACGGGCGCCCACCGGCTGATGGATATGACCGTCCAGCATACGACCGAGGCCCATACAGTGCACCCCCACCACTAGCTCGTCCCCCTCCAGGACCCCCACCTCCCCTGCCCCAGGGCTGGGGTCAGGAATGGGAGCCCAGTACTCGTCGCGCATTCTACGTAGAGCACGCCACTGGTCGCTCCCAGTGGGAGGCGCCTTATCAGCAGCCTGGCTACTCTGGATACAGTGATGGCTCTCGCAGCGTTCCTCCTCCCGAGTCCCAGGGCTACTATGCGCCTCCCCAGGGTCCGCCACCTTCGGGTTACGATGATCGTAGCCCTGGCTACTATCAGGGCGAGCAGCAGCATGAGAAGAAGAGCAGTAACGTCGGTGGCTATCTCGCAGCCGGTGCTGCTGGTCTAGCCGTCGGCGGTATTGCCGGTGCTGTGATTGCACACGAGATCGGTATGTGACATCTTTTACTTCGATTGAACTATTTATTTTTTGCACATACTAATTATCTCTTTAGACGAAGAGGATGAAAAGTCTGATCTCGAAGAGGCTTACGAGGCGGGCCGTCGCGATGAAGAAGAGGCCCATGACTCAGATCACAGCCACCACAGTGATGATGATGGTGGTTGGTAATTGTCTTCAGCATGGGCTGTTGCTTGAAGGTCTCTCGTCACCCGAGCGTTCTTCAGATCCACGTTTTTCTTTGCTAGAGTTGAAGGTTGCGTTTTGCGAAAGTTATATACATCATCACATTTGCTTCTTAACATTGCATTGAGATATCTCGTCACTACTATTCTAAATGCTAAAACACCTTTGAAAGTCAACAATTGCCCATTTTACTTCCAACACAATATCTCCCCATGCAACAAACCAAACCAGGCATCTTCGTCTTCCGCAAACTGCCTCCATCCCCTTGCAATAACTTCCAAATCCTCTGGCTCTGCAAAGCCCTCTTCAACAGCATTCTTCGCAAACCCGGAGGATCTAGCCCTCTCCTCCATAGATCCACCCCAATACGCCCTCTCCTCATCACTCGCAAAACACCAAGCCCCCGCACTCCTCTGCATACTCCCGCTATCAAACCCAGCCTCGCGTGCCCAAACATGAATCATCCTCCCAGGATGCGGATTTCCACCTTTAGCACGTTGCATGCGCTCCGTAACCTCCCGCCACTTAGCGATCCCCTCAGACTCAGGATACCAACTCAACTCCGCCGACTCGCGACACGCAACAATGCCACCGTCCTTAGCGACTCGCCTCATTTCCTTTATCGCATGAACTGGATCCGAAATATGTTGCAGAACCTGATGTGCATGTACCACGTCAAATGTGTTGTCCTCGAATGGCAGGGTGTGGATGTTTCCTTCTTGAAAAGTAATGTTCGACACGCCTTCAGCATGCGCAAGGGCACGCGCGCCTTCTAATGGATCGGTCACGTATTCCACGCCAGTGACATGTCCTGATGGGACATGTTTTGCTAAGGAAATAGTGATTGAGCCAGGTCCGCAGCCTATATCCAGGATTTTCATGTGTGGCTTGAGGTGTGGAAGGAGATATGGCGCGGAGTTGGAGACTGTACGCCAACTGTGCGTACGGAGGACTGAGGTTGAGTGGTCTGTTGTGTAGACTTGAGGCATGATCAATAAATTGTGAGTGAAGTTTTAATCGAAGTTGTAAGTGTTTTGTAGAACTGAGTTGGGCAGGGGATTTTATAGTTGGGATGGAGATCTGGGCCCGTGGACCTGCTTCGGAATTCCGCAATGAGCTTTGCTGTCGACCTTGGGACTATTCCAAGGTTCAGGGTCACCTGGCCCTCTTGATGTTAATTCAACACCCTCAATCTAAGGCCTTTTGTTTTTCTTAGTACTTGCGAACATGTCCTGGAGTTTGATGCAGTGAATAATAAAACTTCTGATCATGAAACCAAAAAAAGTACCAGGTCACTGGGAATCTAGCGACTGCCAACTGGCTTCAATGTGACAGAGTAAATGTTTGAGATACAGAATGAACCAAAATGAAAAAAAAAAATCCGTATTTTCAAGATAATATTTCCACCCTCAAAGAGTGCAAACATGCTAAATAAAGCCATTTAGGAGGCCAGGTGCGATGATCTCATGGCTTGGCATTTGCGGAACTCCGAAATCATTCACGGAATTCCGGACTCGCCACAGATTATATTCCTTCAACATGGAAGGCTCAAGTAGATCTGGGCCATCAACCCCGGCTTCATCACGAATCCCCCGCACTTCGCGAAAAAAGGCATGCCGAAAATGTGTACAAGCTAAATCTGCGTGTGATCTCACAAAGCCGAAATGCAAGCGATGCAGACATCGAGGCACGAGTTGTGAATATCCAGCACTCATCGAGCCAAAGGGTGGTAATGCAGAGAACCAATACACCACTGTCGATGTCAGCCCGGTCAGCACAACTTCTGATTCAATATCCTTGGATTCCTCATGGCCACGGGGTCTGGTTGACACCGCAGATGTATCTACCGCCGCGGATAATGGACCAGTTCATCCAGATTCCAATGTCGTTCTGGACTTTCAACGAATTGATCTGCTACCCATGACTGATGCAGAGGAAATTCGTGATCGCTGGCTACGACCCTACATCTCCGGCTCGACGGGCCAAGAGCCCAAGCATTTGAATGCTCACACCATACAGTATCTCACGTGTGTGTTGAAATCATATCTTAGGAATCTACTCAACTCAAAGGCACCGCCTTTTCTTCATTCAATGCAACTGGGGACTTGTCCACCTGTCTTGGCTTACTGTTTCACCCTTGTTCGGACGTGGTTGACTCGGATTCCTGGGTGTGAACACTTAATTCTGGGCACGATTCGAGGAGAGATGAGCAAGATTGAGAGTCCAGTATGTTGACAATTTATTATTCCTTATACCTCAGCCTAATATAACACAGGATGCCGTTCGAAGTGACTTTGATAGCCTATGCTCGTTCCAGGCATATCTCATCTACTCCATGACGATGTATTTCTTTCCGGGAACAGGCACGGTCGAGGAACCTCAGTCCTTCGATACTCAAACGCAGATAAGGATGCAAGAAATTGCTTTCCGATCCGCTAAAGCAGGCCTCGCCTGCAGAGCAGAAGGATCTCAGACCCGGCCGAACTGGGAGTCATGGATAGTCGCCTCTGCCAAGCGTCGTACCCTGTTTACCATGTATCTCTTCACCAATATCTACAATACCCAACTTGGGCTGCCGAATTTCGTTGCCGAAGAACTGAGGGGGACTATGGCTCCGGAAAGCAAAGTACTCTGGGAAGCTTCAGATCGCGCAGTCTGGGATAGAGAATACAATCGGTACTTGTCTCGCTGGGAGGATGGGATGCTCGAGATATCGGAGCTGTGGAAATCCGCTGAGACTGGAACAGGTGCCCGGCGTGAGAGGATTGAGCGGTGGTTACAATCTGCTGATGAGTTTGGGACGATGTTTTTTGCTGTTTGTGCGCATATCCATGGGTGCTAGTCGCATAATTCGCTCTGTCGAATTAGAGAAGAAGGAAATACAGAACGACACGAGACACTAGGAGTCAATCACAGTAACCAGAAACCTTGCCTTTTGATTGCATTGCTCTGTCATAATACATCTGACACTCGAATTACATTTCCTCGGAAGCCTAAACCGTCACATCTAATGCCCCTTGGCCATCTGCTCAGCCGCAGAATCCATAACATCCTTGATTGCTTTTTTGGACGTCATACGCTCATACCACTCGTTCTCATTCGGGGACTCATCAACGTTGAACCCCGCATCAGCGAGTGTTTTCCGTGCGCTGAGTTGCCAAGGAATGAACGCCAGATCAGCGTACGACATCTTGTTGCCAACCAACCAGGGACCATCTCCAACATCCTTGTTGGCCTCCTTCTGCTTAGCCAGCCACTTATCAAGCACGCCTGTCACGCGTTTCGCTTCGTTGACATAGCGTTCCACTGCACTAGGGATCTTCTCCTCGTGGTAGATTTTGAACCAAAAGGCTTGTCCGTAGTACGGACCCTGGCCGGAGACCTGAAGATAGAGGAATGAGCGTGCAAGCTCGGCCTCTGCGCTGCCGGGTGTGAAGCTGAGTTTGCGGGGTTCATTGGTATCGTAGCGCTCTATGAGGTACTCGATGATGGCGCCGCTCTCCCAAATGGTGAGGTCGGTGTTTGGGTCATGGATCGCAGGTAGGCGCCCATTGGGATTGAGCGCTAGGTACTCGGGCTCCTTCACCTTCGCGAAGGGGACTGAAACGGGTTCATATGGTAATTCGAGGAGGGTGAGGATGAGTCCGACTTTGAGGGGGTTGGGGCCGAGGATGCCACCGTAGAGCTGAATGGGTTTGATTGTGGATGACATTGTTGCGATTGATCTGTGATTGAAGCTGAAAAGATAATTGTGGTATGCTTGTAGCGATAGGTATCGACTTTATATATAAAAGTCCATCCCTGCAATGGACAGACTCGGCATAACCCCACTCACCTTACAGGGGGGGGGGTTATGCCTTCGGTCCCCTCAGATTATAAATCAAACGTATACCTATGTACTCCATAGAAACTGAAAGATTAACATTTCGTCCTTATGTTTCGTCCGTTTGTCCGAATAGCGAGTCCGATAGTAGTAAATAATGGATGGGTCTCATAATTATGAATATTCGGGCCTCCGGGTGACATATAACGCCGAAGACGCGCACTTCGGGGCTTGTGTTCTTCCAATGCCGAGATGACTAAGTGGGACCTTCGGGAAGCCCCGAAGGTTAACCATGGTTAAGTCAAAATTTGGAAGGACCCTTTCATTGGGAAGAAATGATCAATCTTTACCGTCATTCCACTCCGATATATCATTGATGTGCCTATGGCAGATGTCATACTCAACTTAAGCTAGGACATAATTTACTTCGTATGATAAGCTTGATCTTGTAGCCACGTCCTTATTCCCAGTCTTGACTCAAGGTCACTTAGGTGATGGTTTATTCTTGATTTTTAAAGGCCATTTGACAGCTCATAAGGATGAGGCGTGCGGATGTGAGATATGATGGTGTTTGCAATTAGAATACATATCATGTGATTCATCGAGAACACGCATTCAAACTATGAGATCACATTAGATGAAGAGACCACAGTTATAGTACTTTGAGTCCCTTCTAGTTGAAACGCATGGTTGTCACAGTGACGGATTATTACAAGAAAAGAAAACATACTATCAGAGTCAGTAGCAGTTTCCCTATGTTTTCTTCTGAATACTTTTGTCGCTTCCATCTCGAGATGTCGAGGTAGACACACCGCCGAGACCCTGATGGTCGACCCCGCACTTCCTTTCGAGTTCCTTCACACTTTTTGTTTTCTCCTTGTCCGTATACCTCTCTCTCTCTCTCTCTCTCTCTCCCGCCCCCCTCCACTACGCCTAGCTGTATGGTACTCAATGCTAGTTTCCTATCTGAACGATAACTTTCGATCAACCCTACAAGTCTAATCAATTTTCGCGAGAAGCTAATGTGCACTCGCTGCGATCAGTCAACGACAAACACATCCCAACAGTAACATTCACACGAGGTATATATTCTCTCGTTTGTTTACATATTTTCTACTCCTTGGTATCAAACCCCGACGACGACAAGTTCCCACATTCTCGCAAATGTGCGGGTGTCGATTGTTGTTTGCCTCTAGATACCTAAAGCAACGGAGACAAATACAGCATGTTGACAGTTTCATTTCTCTGTCTACATGATAAGGATGACTCCTACATTCAAATACCCCGATTTTGCATACACTATCAATATATGTTCTGAAGTGTAAATATTGATTTCATTGAATTCCAATTCATCATCTAGGTACATGCCACAAAGTTGTTACCGCTGGCTCCAGTATGGGTAATAAGGCCAGCAAGCTCGTTGTCGTCGTTGAAAATAACACGGTCCGCACCAGGAGAGTTGCCAGTATAGACCTTGCCACTGCTGAGAATGGGGAATTCGTAGTAAGTTCCTGGAACTGGGAAATCGAAACCTTCGTAGTTGTGGTACTCGTGGGGGTAGTTGTTGACATCATCATTTCCGCTGTGAAGGTCGTAGCCAGCGTCCTGCGCGGCACTGATAGCACTGCTAGTGTAGCAAACTTTGCCGCATGTCGCGGCACAAGCACGAGTTTCAACGTCTAGCGGAGCAGCGAGGGTGCTAGATATGAAGAGGGTGGCCAAGGCCAAGATCTGATATTTGTGTTAATGATTGATAACGTTGAGCTGGAAAAGTATATTACCTTGGTGTACTGCATTTTGGCGGTATAATAGGAGATTTGAGCCTTGGGTGAATATTTCTCGTCTTGTAGACCTTTAAATTTTATGGGAAAGTTGATTGTTTAAATATAGCTTGCCGGAGGTCTCTCCGGACTGCGAAGAGAATCTATTCGCTATCAATGCGATGTTACATTCTGTTCATCCAGCCGTCTTGGTTTTTCATTGGCAATGTGATGCTGCAAGTCCAAATAATCATTTAACAACCCCCATACCCGAATCAGGAACATTCACCGAGCGGCAACGTTGAAGGATAGAAGTCAAAGCGAGGTACAAAACAGTCCCGATTGGCCGATTGAGGACGTGAAGAATCGAGTGGTGTTACGACTCCGAATTCCTAGAAATAGGCCCTATCAGAGAAGGCGATCGACGGGGGTCATTCGAGAAGGGGGCTGTTTTAGAGTGCTGCAGCTGATATGACCAGGATCTGTCCCATTTATCGGACCAATTATAGAGTCACCTGTCAGCACGTCCATTACTCAGCGGGCCATGTGGGGTTAATAAGAGAACATGTTGCATTTAAAATTTGTGTACGGAGTAAATACTGAGACTTCTGATATTCCGTCCATCTACAACAGTTGTAGTGAGAAATATTCAATCTCTTGGTTGTCAAGATAAGAGATTCTACCGAATTGTGCTTCGTGTATATATTATTGTCCCCTCATTTTTACCCGCTCTCCGACGGTCTCCGGCTGATCATATCTGGCCCGTGTGCTGTTTACTTCGTGGATATCTGTTACTCGCGCGAAGTTATATTCGGCAGATTCTCTTTACGGAGTATGTAGACAATAGATTAAGTTCAATTGTGTCACATGCTAGTCTCCTACTACTTTACCCGGCATATAACCGAAAGGTAGCTTCAGATTTGTGTGGATAGTATTGTATAAGACAGAGGGTAACTATTCTACCCTATCACAATGGAATAAATGCGAGCCCACCACTTGGCGGCCTTCTTGGGTGACTCGGGCTCTTCCAATTCGACTTGCTCTCTTCGCCCGGTCCAGATATCCATATCCTCCAGTCGGACGACATGGGTTTTATTCCAGAACTTGTACACAATCACAAACAACACAAACACAGGGATCAGGATATAGTTGATCACAAAGTCAGTCGAGCTGAAAGGATTGAGGAAGCAAGTGTATCCCTGGAAGAAAATGAGGAACACATTCGCTGCCAGCGAGAGGTAGGTTCCATATGGGTAAAAGAGAGCTTGGAATGGCAGCTTCGATGGGTCTTCGCCTTGAGCAACCAGGGCTTGTCGAAATCGAATATGTGCAACTCCGATTACTGACCAAACAATAAAGGTGGCAACTGTGCTTCATTAGCATGGAACAAAGGGGTTTCTGGGAAGGGTCCAGGAAGATAAACATACCGCCCGAAAGAGTGATCAATGCCGAGTAGACTCTTCCAGCACTAGAGGACTGCTCCAAGAATACAATGCAGGCGAAGACATTGGTGAATATCAAGCCCACCCATGGGACTCCCAGACGATTTGTCCGGCCGATGAATTTTGGGGCCTTTCCGTTGCGAGACAGGAAAAGCAGTGTTCTAGATGCCACATAAAGCGAGCTATTTCCTGCAGAAATGACACTAATAACGATGAGAGCATTAATGAGGTGAGCGGCTGGAAGGATTCCAGCATCCTCTAACGAGATTGTCAAGGGCGAGCTGGCTGTCTTCGACGATGTGCCCAGCAATCTCTTATCGTTCCATGGGATGAGCATTCCAATAAAGAAGATAGTACCTGGATATAGTTCAGTAATGCTTCAGTCTTCTGTTTCAATGTGAACTTACCAACGTAGAAAATCAAGATGCGCCAAAAGACCTGCTTGATAGCTCTGGGTACTGCTTTTCCGGGATTCGCCGATTCTCCGGCGGTGATGCCAACCCTAATTTGACTGTCAGCTTTCGCCATTTCCCAGATTTTTGATATTGGATAACATACATCTCAGTTCCAGCATACAATGTTGCCGCAACAACAAATGTTTTCGCAACACCATTGATTGAATCTGCAAATGCCCCAGGGGCATGCCAATATTCAAACCCAGTAGCACGCGGTCCAATGCCACCTGCGCTGATGCAAATTGCGAGAATAAAAAAGACAATCAATGCCAACACCTTGATACTGTGGTCTATTAGCCAATCTGATGTTCCAAACCAAAGCACATGAAACCATACAGAGATAACCAAAATTCCATCTCGCCGTAGGCCAAAATTCCGAGATTTGAGAGGGTAAGGAACATCACCCAGAAGATTAAGATCCAACCCCATTGAGGAACAGCATCTGTCCAGTACCCAATGACTAGGGATATCGCATTATATTCATTTGCCAGGACCTAGAGTATCGGGTTAGCAAGGAATCGCTCACGATAGTAGAATGTTCAATGGGTGTCGTACAGTTACCCATAAGTACCAATATGCCCATCCCAGCGCAAACGCAAGAGAGTCATCAATAAAGCGCTCCGCATACTCGGTAAACGATCCAGTTACAGGGATCAGGGTGGCCATCTCACCCAGCGATTGCCTATAATTGTCAGAATCATTCTTGGCGCAAGAGAATGCACTCCTTACATGACAAAGAAGACGATAATTCCGACTAGTGAGAAACTTATCAAAGCCCCTGCAGGTCCACCCTCGTGCAGCGCATTTCCCGAGCTCACCAGTAGACCAGGACCGATAATGCCTGATACTTTGGTCAGCATCAATGCAAAATAATTTCACCGCAAAACTCACCTCCAATAGCAATCATCTGCAGATGTCTAGACTTGAGTTGCCGTTTTAATGGTGCGGCCATAGGATCTCTTGCAGTCTCTTCATCTCGGTCCTCCGATCGGAAGCTTTTTGTAGCATCATCCTGAACGGGTCCTCTATATGTCACGGCGAAGTCTTTTTTGTCCATATCGACCAAAGATCTCAAATCAGTTAAAGGAGAAATTTATGTATTATATTTTTTTTCCCCACAGAAAACACAGCAATGTCGCTTGGAGCCAACGATAAGGGATTTTGGCCCTCGATGAGGTGCTAAGCCCTGGGAAAGGCGTGATAACCCATGGAAGGACCACTGAGGTGGGTACATGTGGTGGGGCACGGGCTATTCAGGCAAAAGTTAACATTTTGATATTCAAAAACACGTGTAAACTCCATATTTAGATATTTGAAATCACATTGGCTGAAATCCTTAGATATTTAATTTAAACAGGGTTTCATCATTGCCAAATAAGCTACCTCCTGAAGTGTAAAAGATATGTTGACAATTTAGGAAATCGCAGGCTAGAAGTTAGCGACAAAATCAACAGATGTCAAGGAATTGAGAAAGGACAAGATAAGGGCAATGGCATGCTTCAAATAAGGGCTCAAATCTCATTTTTGTCAATGTAGTTCCGATGTCTCAGAACTCATTATCGCCCAAAGCAAGATCCATTACGGGTAGGAAAGGGATAATTCTAAAGCTAAACTTTAACCAAGGGAATGGGGATTAGATGGATTCCAGGAGTCTAGAAAGGAGAGGGGGAAATCAGTGGCATAATACTTAAATGGTGGCTCAGATTGCACATGCTTTAATCAAGGAAGTTCAGAACAACAACTGACTCATCATCGCCACCAAGCAATTGCCATTGGAGTAAAATATCTGGGGGTAGAGTTAACAATAAGAAGGACTCACAATTAAAAGCCAGCAAAGACTGCTAAATGCAAGAGACAAAGTAAAGTGCTCGAAATGTGCCTCAAAAGTGCGGTGGCATGGTCATCAAAGATGTTCAGTAGCTCTGTGTTCTCATCATTGGCGCCGTGCAAGTTACAGTCAGGGGTCTCTGGGTGTTCTGTCAAGATTCACAGAAGAAAAGTTCGAGTACAAAGATGAACGGTGGAAGCATTGAAGGGAATATCAATACTGGTATGTGAAAAGGATAAGGACAAGGTGCTCAAGAGGTGCCTCAGACAAGTGTAGCTTGGTCATCAAAAGATGTTCAGTTAGCTCTCTTTTTCATCATTGGCATCAGGCATCAAGATATCACCAATGGGTAATCATAAGGGGAAAGGCCGGCAAAATTGAAAAGCATAGCACCACAGTACACTCACTTGGCCAGAATTCAAACAGCGCGCCGGAAGGCCAATGAACAGAGCTAGAAAGATGAAATGATATTAGCAATATTAAATCCAGCAATTTGAAATGGGCTTCAAATAGAGAATTTTCCATCAAATGGAGGCTCAGACAAGGGGGATTTTTTTCATGTAAGAACAGATACTACACAATTGGTCAAGGTCTCTCACTGGGACTGGGACACTGGGACTGGGACACTGGGGCTGGGACACTGGGGCTGGGACACTGAGACCATATAACCCTTTTCATCATCGCCGAATGGAGAGTCATGAGATATGGAAATGAACTGGCTTACTTGCAATTCTACTAGCAAATGCTAGTTTAGAAATGAGTAGCTGACAATGACAGCTCTGCCAAGAAGGCAACTGTATCGAATTTAGGCTCAGGTAGGAAGCAACTGGAAGGGGCCGAGCTAGGGAAACGCATTTTTTTTTATTAGCAAAGATATCCCAACAACATAAAATAAGAATGCAAATAAAGGTATTTCCATCGAATGGAGGCTCAGTCGGGGGTTGTTTTCTCCAAGACCTTTTTCAAAACCACAATGGGCGCATACTACATAAGGTTCAGGCGTAACCCTTTTCATCATCGCCAAGTCGAGAATGTGATGTGTAAATGAACTTACACTTTCGTCACGAAGTGTCACTTTCAAAATGAGCAGGTATATCGAGGAGGAAAATGACAACGACGACTCTGCAAACGTAGCAAAGGGGTTGAAACGGCCAATTAGAGGGCCCGCGATAACAGGTACTGGCCGTCATCTTAATATATTGATGGCTCCAAAGTCTAGAGTGAGACTAGACAAGTGGGTATTCATTAGCAGCTGAAACTTGAAAAACAAGTGAAATAATACCAAGCAGGCATGTCAACAATCAAACGGTACTTCAGACAAAGTGTCTTCATCAGGGAGCAAACCGAAGATGGACATCTGTATATCGTCACTGCACCACCGAAAGAACATAAACCCATGAGCCCAAGAAGAACTCATGGCAAGAATAAAGCTGGGAGGAAACATGTATTTTCCTTTTGAGATGGCAGCTAGGCTCGAGTCAAGACATGGAAGGCATTGGCCATTGTCACAGTCATGACAGCACATGGAGATAGAGCAAGACTAGAGAGTTATGATTCTGTTAGCAGTTGAAACTTCGAAAATGAGCCGATAATGATGTTGTAAAGAAGGAAATAAGATTCAAACAGTGGCTCAGACGCATTTTGCTTCATCGGGTATCATACCCTTCAAACCTTCACGGTCATCATTGCACCACCGGAAGGGTATGAAGCCCATGGAAGCACACACCAGTATGTGGGGTTAGGCCAATGGCCAGGCTGGGCCATTGGCCATCTTCGCAGCCTAGATTGGCAGAGAGAGTGGAGAAGCACGGTTTCGTTAGCAGATGAAATCTTGAAAATGATCGAAGTGTATAGCAATCAGATATGCCAATGTTCAAATGGTGGCTCAGACAAAGTATTTTCATCAGGCATCAGGTTAACGACCATTTGTATATCATCATTGCAATGCCAAAAGAACACAAAATCCATGGGCTCGGGGAGTAGTCATAGCAAGGAGGATGAGGCTAGGGGCAGGGGACATCGTACATGGTAGATGAGGCTGAGCCAAAGTAAGTAAACCCGCAGGCCCTAGTTGGATTAGATGTCAGTAAAAGAAATTGCTCATGGTAATCAGGCAAAGGAAAATGATGAATGTGTTATCGTACTTCTTGTTCATCATCATCATTGAAACAGAAGGGAGTGGACATGAAGCCGATGAAAGCACATACAAATCGGGAAACAGAAGGATGTCACCATGTAGAGGGGATGGCGGAGGAAAGGGCACACACATACCAAGAGAAGATGAAGGAAAGAAAATTAGAAGTCAGAGTAGAAAAATAAAAATAGAACCGCGTGGCAAGTAATCAAGGTATTCCGGCGACTAAGCAAAGTGCGTCGCCCCGGCGATTCACCTAGGCAGCGAGATCACTAGAACACCAGACAGGACGTGACACATTAGTAGAAACGGCCTGGGACTTACCATGATAAATGAACCAAAGCTGTAAAGTAGAAACTATCAACGTGCATTGGAGTAAACAAGGTCAAGTCCAAGGACACAATCGAAAAGAGGTATGAGGTTCCTGGAGCCAAATGCAAAGAGGGAACCTTGGGATGTGTCGAAGGAAAGAGAAATAGACAGAGAAATCGAGATCGAAAATAATTTATACTCCTACTCAACGCTAATTGGCTTATTGGGCGGTGTGGACTCTATTAAATGGACGTTGATTGGCCCGAGATGAATCTGGGGTACCACGTGGTGTGGGTACCTGTACAGGAAGTAGATGTTGCTTGCCTGTGAAGTACGCTTTTATGAGACACACTCGTAGTCACTCTACAATATGTGTGTTTCTATTAAATTTGGTGAACTTGTAAGTCATGCAGTAGACGTTATTTCTACAAAGTTTCACGCTAGAAATCGACGTAGTGCGCGAGAGAAGGTTGACTAAAGCATTCTTGGGATTCGAGGCTTGCAGGTAGGTACATTGGATTCTCGGATCTATATAGACCGCTTTGGTGCCACCGCCTCATTATTGCGGCAGTCGGCTTAATGTAATTCCAATCAGAGCGAAAGAAAGTACGTAAATAGGCATGTTACCGGCAAGAGAACGAAAAGACGACAGGCTAAGCGTTGGAAACGACTACCGACGACTCAGCGAAATAATTCCCCACGACTAAGCAAAGAAACCAGCGCCAGGCTCAGTACCTAGCACCCTCAACCAAGTCGCTAACCCTCAGTACCCGTGGACAAAACGAGACGACAATTCATTCTCTAAAGTACAGACAATCGCCTTGTTATTGACAGATAGGTCGGATCTGTAGGGTTAGAACATCCCTATGCATCATGCTCAGCAATATTCAATGATTAGCATGAGCTGCCGGGTCGTCTACAGCGACGGGATAACCTTTCGATGAAGGTCTCGCCCCATTTTGCACTGCCAGGGTCAGCAATTGACATGATGAAAGCAGGAAGCCCTTCGAACCTTGTGTTGGTATTGACAAAACCTCGGAGATACTCGTACTTGGCCTTCCGCTCGCCCGCATCCAGATTCAACGCATTGAAGATCGCCTCGGACATTTCCGTCTTGTTTGCAGGGTGGAATGGGATACTACCATTCGTCATGAAGGAAGCCGCGCCAGCGAATTCGGAGAGAACGAGGACGCCATGATGCTCTTGCTGGCATGCCACATACTCGAAGGCTACGAGATTCATGCCGTCTCGAGTGGAGGTCAGAAGGCAAACATCGGCTACCGAGTACAACGCGGTCAATTCGTTGAATGGAACGGAGCGATGCATATACAGCAGCGGAGTGCCCTCGGGGGTGGCTGGCTAATTAGCATACTCCTAATATTCTCTGACGATAGCTTACCATGTTTCCCGTTTATCTTGCCAGCGATAGTACACAGTTCCGTTTCGAGATCTTGATATTCCTTTACATCCTCGCGGCTGGGGACGGCAACTTGAATGAGAACAACCTTGTTTTGCAGCTCTGTGTGGTCATCGAGAAAAGCGTCGAAGCCCTTGAGTTTCTGCGTGAGGCCTTTAATATGGTCCAGTCGGTCGACGCCAACAATTACCTTGACGCCTTTGTAGCGTTCTTTCAAGGTTCGAATACGTTCTTGGACATCAGGCTTTTGCAAGGTGTCTGCGAACTTTTGGGGGTCAATGCCGACAATGAACTTGTCTATGCAGACGAGCCGATTTTTATACTGGATTTGATTGGGAATTTCTGTGCGTGCGTTACTGTGGTGGTGTTGGTTGATACTTCTTATTTTGTGGGCAAGGGGAATTAGGGCTAATGCTCACAGGAGACTGGCACAGGTATCGATAAAGTTCTGCTTATACTCGTCGGTGTGGAACCCAATCAAGTCACTGGACAGCATACCCTCAATGAGATGCTTTCGCACAGGAAGGTTCCTCCAAAAGTCTCCTGCAGGAAATGGCGTGTGGAGTGAGAAGCCAATGGCACAGGATTTACCCTGCTGTTTGAGTCGGTCACGGAGAAGCTCGGGCAGAAGCATGAGATGATAATCATGGACCCAGATCAACGTTCCCCCATCCGCCGTTTCAGCAATTGGATCTGCGAATAACTCATTTACCCGCCTATATGCTTGCCATGGAGTCTCATCAAAAACTACACCAGACTGATAGTGGAGAATGGGCCACAGGATACGATCTGGCGGTCAGCGTGGATCGAGATATTAGGGCACGGACTTACTCGAGAACCCGTTATAGTGCTCATGTGCCAGGGAACTATCGAGGAATATAGGAATAGCATTATGTGCTTCCAGGCTCTTTTGCACTTCCTCTCGGTCCTTTGCGTCTTTGACTTCGATTCCTGGCCAGCCAAACCATTGGAACTTGGTAGACTTGGTCAAACCAGAGAGAGAAGTGACAAGGCCACCGCTCGAAAGAGATGACTCATAGGCACCATTAACCCTTTTTACGGACAATGGAAGGCGATTTGAAACTATAATGAGGTTTCGTTTATCGTCAGTGATTGAGCCCATCTTGTTACAACGGCTGCAACTTTATATATCTTCAACAACAAAGAACGGACGATGATTCAGGGACTGAATTCAGACAAAATAATACTTAGATCTTGCATTAGAAGAAAGCAAAAATCAAAGTCAAAAGAAATTAGCAGCTATACATAGCTACAGAAATGGCGAATGGCAAACTGCAAATTTACGTCAGTATGAAAGGAAACGCATCTCTCTCCTTTCGATTATACATGTGCCTAGAACTAGGCAAAATTGGCCTCAATTACATCCCATGTCCAATATTTCATTTGTCTGGAATCATGTGGATAATACGTAGAATGGTTGGTCGACAATTTTTCCGGGTTCAATACAGGCGAAGTTGTATCAATGGACACCAGCAGTCATTTGGCCCTATTTTACACAAAAGCCTAATAGTTATTATATCAATTCTTAATGTATGATCTTAGTTTTTATTGTTCTATCTGCATATTATTTTTCATCTATATACTCCAGGACCTTTTGTTACCAAATGTCGTCATGGGAATGTCAGAACTCAGCACTCGCCTCAACCTTTCCCAGCACTTTGCCTCTTTTGTCTTGTAGCAGTTTTACAGCAATAAAGCAGCTCAGTCCAGCTGCATACGAACATCCAGCAAACGCAATCAGTCCCCAGTACTGTCCGCCACAGACATGTATAATCTCTCCGGCAATCGGGACGCCAGTCAATGCCCTAAAATATATGTTAGCCACATGGTCTTATAGAATGGCCCTCAATACAAAACAAAGACTTACCCAAAACTAACAATGGTATACACAGTGGTATAATATCTTCCATAATTCTCGACAGGACATAGCTCCCCCACACAGACTGGCACAAGACTGATATTGCTCCCACTGGCGAATCCAAACACAATAGAGAATATCACTGTAGCAACAAGATTTCCATCTGCGGGCATCCAAATACCCAGAACTGAAATCAAACAAAGAATGTTTGTCAGGATCAATGTGTTGAACCGACCGATGCGATCAGCCACAATCCCCGGCAGCCAACGACCGGGAAAAGAACCCGCGTTCAAAAAGACGACCATCAAATAGGATAGATTGGTGGAGATCCCGCTCGCAATTGCATACGAGGCAACGTACTCGAGTGGAACGAAGAAGCCCCATTCAATGAAGAAAACTCCAAGTGTCGTCAGAGCGAGGACTGGGTCTTTGAGGATGGTGAGATCGGGAAGGAATGACTTGAGCGATGGAGCCAATCGGGGTCCGGGAGGGAAGTTCGCTCGGACTAGAAGACAGCCCGGGATCAAAAGGATCAAGGTGATGAGACCGACAACCCGACTAGCCCAGGCAAATCCAATCTGTGGCGCGAGGTACAGCAATACCAAAGGGAAGATTACGCCGCCGATACTACCCCCAGCCAATGCGAGACCGGTTGCTGCGCCTCTGCGTTTGACGAAGAAATGGCCAATGCTTGCGACGGGTACAATGAATATGAAAGATGTACCCGTCCCACCCAGGATTCCGATAACAATGAGGAAATGCCAGTACTCAGTGCAGAAACCCATGAGAATGAAAGTCAGTACAAGCAGACTTGACCCGATCCACATGAGCAGCCTTGGCCCTTTGATATCGAAAATTGGCCCGATCTGGATCCCGCAGAAGAATACAAGGAAGTTGTATATACCGAAAATCCAGCCAATTTGTCCTTCGCTGATGTCTGAGAGTTGATGTGTTGAGATCCAGGCTTGGTAGATACCGATGCTATTCATCAAGCCGAGTCCGCCCATAATAGCGCTGAAGCCACCTGCGACAACGAGGTTACCAATGAGACCTCCTTCTGGGCAGTCAATTGGATCGGGTGATTCGTGATGCATTATTTTATGCTACACAATAGGTAATAGGTACAAGATGGAAAAGGAAGTTTGTTTGAACTATCTATATGAAAGCTGCTACTGTATGGATATATCGTTTCTTTTAACTGTTGAATAGTGGATAAAGTAGCTACTTTTCATCTGCAAATTTTCTCTCGGCTCGGCCATTATCAAGACATTAGATGCATGCATGCCGTGATATGCAGTTGAACTATAGATAAATTCGCCGAAGGCATGAAAATCGGAAACGGGTTCGGGATTGGGCCGAAATAATCAATAGGATCAGCAAATGAACATTTAAGTAAAGCACTTGGATTATCTGCAGAACTCCACTTCATACTTGTCCGTGGCAAAGAATGGCCGATGGCCGAGCTGCTCGGCCGTCGGCGGATGTTGGCCGCCTCGGCATCGGCGACCGCAGATCAAATCAACATGGGTTTCGACATAATTCTTCATCGCTGAGGTCATGTATACTTTGAACAAAAGATGGGAGAAGAAAAATAAATTTTTAGAGTAGGAGATCTATGTCAGCCTGGGTAAAAACCAGTATGTACCGAGTATGAAAGGTAGAGACAGCAGAGAAGTCAATATAGCCCCCCAGAATTAAATCAACTCGAAACAAATACAAGAAAAAGGAAACACCATGATGGTATGTAATAAAACAAAAGTAAAAAAAAAAATTCAAAATCCCATCCCCGCTGGGTATGCTGCCAACCCATCCGTTGTGAAACATGTACGCCGACCAAATCCAGGTCCAGAGATAGAAAAAAAAAAAGTGGTTTAGGCAAACCTACGCTTGGTTGGGCTCGGTGTCCGGAGGTGCTGCTCACGCTCACGAGAGCGTTCGGTGACAAAGTCCATCGCCCGTGTGTTCTCAAGCATCAGGGGCTGGTCTTGTTTCTCATTGTAGGCGACAGCTTGAGTTTGCCGAGGGTCTTGCTGCCCATAGTACCCAAAGGAGGGGTTGTGCTGCAGCTGGGGGTGCATAGATTGGGGTTGCGGTGGGTGCTGCGCATAGTTCTGTTGCTGGAGACGGTGTCTGAATGAGCGGAAGGACCAGTTGCTAACAATTGTGACAGTGGAGATAGTTGCGAGGAAGCACAGCTAGTATGTAAGTCAGTAAATATTCAAAACCGAGTGCGTGGGGAAACTCGCAATCGCCTTCCAGCTGATGGGGTCAATGAAGCTGTTGATAATAATGGCCATTGTATGCGCGGAGACCTTGGCGCGGCCGACCTTCGCCGGGTCACGATTCATGCATCGTTCCCAGTTCTCGCAGATGGTCTCAAGGGCCGGCGCGCGAGTCGACCGGCCGCAGTCGTTATCAACATAGTTTTTCGTGCAGACTGCCATGTCGGCCAAGATAGTATCGGACATTTCCTGCGCAGCCTGCTCGAACTCGCCCCGAATGGCTGACACAAAGGCGAAAACAACATAGACAGCCAGTGAGAACAGCGACAGGTTGACCACTAGTTGGGCCCACCATGACAAGATGGCGGGCACATTCGGATGTGCCTCCAGCATGCTGAAGAACTCAGACCATGATGACACTCGCGAGGGACCCTGTTCCGGCTTTTGTCCCTTCCCTTGTTTCGTGGCTTTCATTGATTTTTCTTCCTTGCTGGGCCGGTCTTGCTCGCTCTCATCGTCGCTGTCGACCCGTATTTGCCGGCCAAGTTCTTTATCTCTCCGTCGTTTCTTTTGTATCCGGTGCAAAGCTGCATTGGAGTGGTGGGTTAGCCGAGGAATTTCGCCTCGCCCTGGGCTCTGCGGGTTCCTGCCATGGAAGTTGAATAGTGACGCAGTCCCCTTCCCCGACTTGTATGGCTGCTCAGGTGTATCCTCGTTGTCTGCGTAGTCTGGAGACGACATGTTCTCGGCACCTGATGAGAAATCCACATCGAACTTTCGTGGCGTCTGGAAAGCAGGTTGGCCAAATTTAGCCTTCGGCGATAGTGGTGCGGGTTGTTGTCGCGGCTGTGAGAAGAGGAAAGGTTGAGAGTTTGGTTCGCGTAGGGAGGGTAACGCTTGCTTCTGAGGGGACTCGAATGTACTGTATGGCCCTGTGCGAGTGGTCAGAGGGCTCGAGGTTGCAGTTATCCTCATTCAGACTGGGATACAAACGTTTCTTGTCATGCTGCGCTCCAAGCTGGTAGAATGGCGAGGTCACATCGCCAGGAGCTCGAGTTTGCCATTCAAAGTCCATTGGACTCTCTGCCGTTCGCTTGTCCATCTTGATGTCCAGCAGAATATAGGTCTGTGGCGGGGAGATGGTGAGGGTTAAAGGCGGGAAGTTAGTTTTTTGTTTGGGGTAAACATCCCCCGTAGCAACCTTGGCATCGGCGCTCTTTATCTCCGACGACTGTACTTCATTTTTTACACATATTTTTGATTTGATCATATTTATTCTATGGCATAGGTTACAGCTTGAGGAAGGATTTCATGCAAACATCGTACTAGAGCAGGCCTAATCGAAATCTTGACATCGACCTGTGGCATAAACCACAGATCTAGATGCTTGCAACGTAGACATTACAGAAATATAGATAGACTCAACCCACGCATCTGAGCAAGTAAGATCATTTGATATTTTGGGCGACCAGCACCCACTATGGGTATTAAACAGGATGGAAAGCATATAAGACAGACATGCGAAACCATCTACTCATCCATCTGCCACTGGTATTCCAAAGCCTCAAACCGGGTCTTCTTGTTCCGCGATGCAAACCAGTCCTTCTCAAACCCATTGCCCCGGTCCACTCCATCCCAGCGATGTCCTGGACGGATGCCATACCGATTAGGCTGGAAGGCACCTCGATATAGCGGTCGCCCCGTAACACTGGCTCCCGCATCACGCCGGGCAGTAAGGAACTCGGCAGCGGGGTCATTCCACCGATCGCGAGCCCTCATTTCTTCGTTCATGTCTTCGTCCTCGATCGTCCGTGCAAGTGGCATGGCCTTGATATCTTGTAAATCCCGTTTGCGCTCCTCGCGCTGCTGTCGCTGCACATCTCCCATCAGCGCCTCCCGCGCCTGTTCTTCTTTCTCGCGTTTTTCTTCTTCTGCGCGCCGCGCTTCGGCGCGTTTCATGGCCACGTTGATGATTCGACCGGATGCATCTCGGTAGATTGTTTCTTGGCTCTTTTCGTTCACTGCTGATGGATCGCGGTACTGTGCTTCTTCAGCTTTGCGCCGCTTTTCCTGGGCTTTCACCATCGCTGCGGTTTGGGCGGCTGTTTGGAGGCCTCCTCGTGCTCCGGATTCCATCCGCACTGCACCATCCTCTTCATTCTCTATCATAAGCGCATCTTCGTCGTCTGGGTCTTGTTGGGCGGCGCGTTCGGCTGCTGCATCGGCTAGAATTGCATCGGCGGCTTCTTGTTCACTTCCGCCTTGGCCGGGCGTGGGTCCTCCAATCGTTTTCCAGTTTGACTTCTTTGCGCGGCGGAACTCTGCCGTTTTGGCGGATGTCTCGAAAAATGGTCTGTCCTCATCGTCTTCTCCCGTATTTCCTAAGGAGCGAATGTCTGGTGGATCATCGTCTGCAATGATGAGGCCGGAGCCCGCAGTATCGACGGCTTTGGTCTTCTTGCGCTTCTTCTTCGGTCGCTCGGTGACAGGGTCGGCAGTCAGATAGTTCTTTGCCAGGTAGTCAGCGAGTGAGCCAGGCATGATTTCAGTATGCTGTATGTGAGGAATGTGAAAATGTCGCGGTGCAGGTTGAGCTCAGTGATTCATCCGGGGGAATGTTTTCCCGAACTGTACGCCGCCTAGCGCTTTGTGTCAACACGACGTGAACGTTATAATCCATGGACTCGGCAACGTAGAAGGAGACTCCGAATTTCTTGCTGAAATCTTTTAGAGATCTGCACAATGCCACGCTCCGAGGAAGCAGAGTGGTGGGCTAATGCAGTCTACGGAGCCATCCAAGAGGTCCCGCGTGGCAAAGTCACTTCGTACGGTCATATCGCACGTCTCCTTGGTGAACGTATGGATGCAACTATATGATTATTGTAGATATACTAACCTTTCTCTTTGGTAATAGCTCAGCGTCCCCGCCAGGTTGGGGTATGTCTTAAGTCACTTGCGTCGCCGGAGTCTGGTTCGCACTTCAATTCCAGCACCGTGCCGTGGCAGCGAGTGATTAATTCGAAAGGGATGATTTCGCATCGGTGCGTTTGTCCCACATCACTCACTACTCCAGGATCGCATGTCAAACAGGACTATAAATACAGACTCGAAACGAACTTTTATACGAGTTCACGGCTGACAACCATAGTAGTGGACCCGGGAGTGCGGAGCGTCAAGCTGAAGCTCTCGCACAAGAAGGTGTGGAGGTTACTACAGACAGCATGGGCGAGATGTATGTTGATTTTTCTCGGTATGGATGGTTCCCGAGCGAGTTGCCGAGCGAGGCAACGGATGAGCAGCCATGAGAATGGGGAAGTTGAACGCCCATCTACCGTCGTGGAGACGTTTACATCATACATTGGGCCCTGATATCCTTTGCATTACATTCGAGCGTTAATAATGATTCAAAGAATCGTACCGGGATCGGATCCATGCATAGCAAATAGTCATAACTTGTCTGTCTGGTGGAGGGAATCTAGAAGATGGAAAGGACTTCACCGATGAGTGGGATGGATGACATAGAAGACTAAAGAGCGGTCCCATCACGGATATGATCAATGGAAAATAGAAAGATGAGTCTATCAGAGAGATATGAGATGGAAAATCACCAGACACAAAAGGTAGACTGACGTGCAGGGGGGAAAGGCGAGGCCATAAGCATACGAGAATGTCGAAAAACACCCCATCCAACCAACTACCAGCATAGGACGAAAGAAAAGATTCGAAGAAAGAAGAAATAAAGACATAAACCAACCAGCATCAATCCGTAAATGGAAAGAGAAAAAAGATCGTTAACTCACATCATCGCCGTAAGGGCATGTCCGCAATAAGACCCGGGGTGTTGCCCCATCTAGGCTAAGGAAAGAGAACAAAAGGGTAGAGGTCACGACAATCACCATCATCGCTTTTTGACCTCGGATGCCCAGCCATCAATACCCTCCCCGCGGGTGCCAGGGGGAATGCCCAGATCAATCCCATCCATACCAGGTGTGTCCTTTATCCACTCGTGAGCTGCCATGCCACCAGCGTTTGCCCGCTTCTCTGGTGACAGATCAAGCATGGGCAGTAGGAGTTCGCTGATACGCATGCTCTCCTCCATGGAGTAGTGGTATTTTTCTCGCAGGACATCGGGTAGGGCCCAGTGACGGAGTCGGTGGATATTGCGCAGTTCGCCCTTGCGGTTGAAGATTTCTTGGGACCATTTTCCGGACATGCAAAGTGACTTGGGGAAGGGACCGAGTAGTTCAATGATTTGGGCAATGTGGTCATCGTCCTTGCCATATTTGGTCCCTGATTGCGGATCAAAGAGGTAGTCTCCGGTGATAAGTTCGAAAACCTAGATGGTTAGTATGTTGTTCGACTTCAGCTGTGATGATCACATCACTCACCATGCATGCCATACTCCAGACATCAGTACTCGCACCCCACTTTGAGCCCAGAATGACTTCGGGCGAGCGGTATTGACGAGTTTGAATGTCGTTGGTGAAGTGATGGCCGACCCAACAAGCATTGCCTAAATCTGCAATCTTCACAGAAATAATGTTGACATCAAGTTCCTCTTCTGGTTTGCTCGATGAGCCTTTATCAAGAGAAATGCCAGATACCTCTCGCTCCAAAAGATCACTATATGTATATTGTTAGACCAAGTTCTTGTCAATCAGACCAATAAATATGAGATGTAGTGACGTACGCGGTTTTCTCTCGCTGGTTCTGCTTCTCGTCTTCTTCCTTGACCCCAAGCAGTTCTTTCATGGATGGAATTTCTGTAGTAGATGCTAGGTCAATTTCAGTCCGCGCATGGTTGTGACATAGATGTATCAAAGTGGACTGACCTCCAGGTTCATTGACCATCTGGCTGAGACTGCTGTGTGAGTTAGAAGAGCTATGTTTGAAGTCGAAGCTGCTGAAGCTAGTGTTCAGCGGACTGGGGAGCGGCTGACTCCCCGTGATCAGTGTGCGTCGCCGTCTCCGTCCATTCCGGTTATCCTCTTTCTCCTTGGCCTCTTTATTGGCTTCCTCATTGACGTGCGCCTTGACGATCTGCTCCACATCTCCAATCTCGATCAGGACATTCTCCGGCTTCAAATCCGTGTGAATGATCCCGCACTCGCGGTGGAGATAATCTAAGCCAAGCAGCACTTGCTTCGCAATCTGCTTGACCAGAGGCATGGGAATACCGCGGTGGTTCCAACGCTTGATCAAACCCAGCAGGTTCTCGCCCAGAACCTCGAAGACCATACAAACATGGATACCGTTGGGTCCCTTGTGCTCAAATGAATCCAACAGACTGACGACATGCTTCCGACCAGGGTGAGAGGGCTTCGCTTGAACTATTTTGTTAAGGAGCTTGATTTCGTCGATCGCGGTTTCAGTGTAGTGTGCGGCAGACCGAACAACCTTCAGCGCGACGTGCTTGTTGGTAGTTGTATCCCGCGAGAGCCAGACCGTAGAGAAATGACCCCATCCAAGTTTGCGCACGACGATATAGCGACCATTGTTGTATGCTTCACCGACAGCGACAGGGTGGTATCCACCTTTGCAATAATCTTCGGAGTCCTCCTCTTCCGCGGTAGCCTCGAGTTCTTCGCCAGACGATGAGGATGATGAGCGTGAGGCGGGTGCTTTGGGGTTCTGAGCAGCTCCGGTTCTATAGGAACTGAGTTAGTAACTATCGTCATCGGAGACCCTTTCAAAACATACGATTCTGTACCGGGCGCAGGGTTCCCTTCATTGGTGACGATGGGCTTCAAGTCGGTACCCTTTCTCCTCTTCTTCCCGCCGTTGCCATTGGCAGCTGAAGCAGCAATGTTTGCCATCTGTTTGCCCTTGTTTAGCATCGCCTTGGTAAGATCGACTCCCTCCATGGTGTGGAGATTTGGGAGGTCAAGCTGAGAGGCGGGGCACACTTGGCTTTTGGTTGGCTCAAGCGGAACTTAGAGGCGGTGGATGTTGGAGGGGACTGCACACACAGGAAAAGACACAGTATTCGGATAATATAGTTGATGAAAGATTCCAAATAAATGAGATTAATTTGAGGAAGAAAAAAAGGTGAAGTTGATGGGAAAATAGCGGGAAAGGTAAAAGTTTGCCCAAAGAGAAGTA